GTTGTTGTCGTAGTCGTGGTGGTTGTCGTGGTCGTGGTGGTTGTGGTTGTGGTGGTGGTCGTTGTGGTTGTTGTCGTAGTTGTGGTGGTTGTCGTGGTCGTGGTGGTTGTGGTTGTGGTGGGGGTCGTTGTGGTTGTTGTCGTAGTTGTGGTGGTTGTCGTGGTTGTTGTTGTAGTCGTCGTGGTTGTTGTCGTTGCTGTCGTTGTCGTGGTCGTCGTGGTCGTGGTGGTTGTGGTAGTCGTTGTTGTGGTAGTGGTTGTGGTGCTGGTCGTCGTGACCGCTGGTGGAAATGGGTTTGTCGCATTGAGGCAGTTCAGACCATCATTTGAGTTGGTACTTGCAGATCCGCTGACGCTGCCCGCAGGGACCCGGCCGGCCTGCGGTTGGTTGACGTCGGTGACATTGACTTGAATGACACCTCGGTGGATCTTTTCTCAACAACCTCAACCTCCATAGAGACTACACTTAGAGCTCAAGAAGATATATATTATGTGTGTGTGTGTTAAACCAGCTGGGGAGAATTGAATGCGAGTGTACACAAATGTACACAAGCAACTGCGAACATCGCATGTGGGGGCAGTCTCCCCCGAACTTCTGCAGCCAACCAGTGGTCCCACCCTCTCTCCATGCACTACCTTCAGCCCCCAGAAAATCCCATCCAGACCCCAGTGACCACAGTGTTACCAGCCAGCAGTGGTTGAAGAACCCGAACTAGACTATCCCGGTACCCCAGGTTACGGGTCCTATTTACGGTCACTTCACCTCTCTTGGAGTCTTCGACCTCCTCGGTCCCCTCGCCCAGTGTTCGACCACCTCGCACACCCAGTCGCCATCGCCGCCGTTGTTGTAGGCGCAAAAGATCTCGCCCTGGAAGGACCACTGAGCACCGGAGGAACCACCGGGGTTCACCCCAGACATTTGAAAGCTTTGCCTCGTCAAGTTCGCCCGTCCGAAGTAGTCAGTCGGTGTCTTTGTCCGAAACCACCGAAGTAAGATGCGCGATGAAGCCAGTGGGCGGACTGGGGTGGTCGACCAATTTAGTGGTAGACCTCGTTGGCGGCCTAACCCGCAAGCACCACTTTTGGGGGCTTCTTGAGACAAAAAAAAAGCACTGGCAGCGGTCTCGGGGTCCAGGACATGGCTGGGCGGCTGGAGGCCAAAGCTGTCGAGATCTTTCGCGTTTGGGAGAGCCGAGGCTGGACACCTGTTACATGAACGCCAAAGAAGTTTGGTTTTTCTGATTTGCCTTCATACATGCGACGTATATGTCCTTCAAAGGCAGAAAGATGCATGTCCAATCCAGCGATATGCCTAGATCTTCGTATGAGGCACTTTTCCAAAGAAGTTTGCCTTTTACCGTGCACCAGGTCGATTCAGGTGGCTAGAAGATCCTTTCGGCAGAAATTCTTGCCCTTTTTGGGTTCCCGTCCTGGCGGAGATTAACTTTTTGCCGCGGAAAATGTTTGTTGCCGCAAATTTTTCCTTTCAAGAATCTACTCAGACAAAGACTATATAGGAGTTGAATATGTTCTGTGGTTTACGTTGGGCATTTCTCACTGGAACGGTCCCTCCATTAAGAAAACAAAGAATGCCGACACTTAAGTTTCCACCTCCACCTGGAAATTTGGCTAGCATCATATCATATACATGTGTCTTTGTTTTGAAGGTTTCTTGTGCGGTATGAGCACATACGAGTAAAACCAGTCCAAAGTTGAAAACACCTGGCGCGGAAATACCCGGGAAAAAGGCGGAAATACCCGGCAAAACGGCGGAAGATTCCTGGCAGAGGAATGCCGATTCAAAAACAGTGCCTTTGAAGGGCTTGAACAAATGTTGCAGCCTCTTTGTGAATGTCATGAATGAAGAAGTGTCAAAATCGTAGGGTGTGAGATCTTGAGATGTGAAACTATGTGAAACTATGTCCTTGCAGAACAATATGTGGTATGCAATCATGGAAGAGACAACCTGGTCGGTGTTAGGCAGTGGTGATGCTTTTTGAAGGCTATGTAAAAATTTGCTTGCGGCAAACATTCACTGCTGGCCGCGGAAACTCCTACCTGGCGCGGAGTTCCCCTAAAATCCGTGAATCCTCCCAGGCAAATCGGACTGAGGCGGAAATTTTTGCCCCAGGTGCTATGCATGTTTATTCAATCAAAAGTTGCAATGATCTGACTTGGCTGTGTTGCGTTGGGTTCGTCGGATTGTCTAAGGAGTGGAAGTAGACCATATTCTGATGGCATCCAATCAAGTAGGTCTGATTTCCATCTCCTCAGCACGTGATCTTGGCCCAACAAGCGTCAGAGTTTGGAGTTTGGATTATAACTTATATATAGTTCCGTCTGCAAAGAGAGGAACTGTTACCACATTCATGCATCTGCCTTTAGCTACTGGAGGCCACCTTTTTTCATGGACGCAAACACATCGATCAAAGGGTTCCTGGAATCGAGATGCGAAGCAAAACAAAGAACACCTCAAACACTGTGTGTGACACCTCCTTTTCTTCCTTCCTTCCAAAACCTTGAACGCGCTAATTCAGGTAAGTCTCCAATGTCCGTTGTCCGGATGATGAAATCTGCCACGTTACCACGGAAGTTGCTCGCCACACCCGTGATGCTGCTACCTTGACCCGTCGCCCAGGACCGGAACGGCGACGTCGAACAGTCCGTGACCGGACGGCTTCGCCTTCGCGTTCGCAGTGCCCGTGGCCGAAGCAGTTCGCAGTGGCCATGGACAGCACCAAGCATCTCGCTTGGTTTGGATCCTTTTTTCGAAGCACAGCACAGCCTTATGAAAAACCACATCCAGGCAGTGGACACCGAGCAAGGGTACAAATCCCAGAACCGGCAGCGGTGCCACTTTCTCCAACCCTGCGCAGGTGCGCAGTCTGTGACCTTTTCCCTGAAGGCAACAATAATTATCAACAATCATCTGCCTAATTCACAGATTTCACCCGAAAATACCCGAACCCCTCCATATATACCCGAAAAGCTGCTTAGAGGCATGCAGCTTATATACCCGAAAAGGTTCTGCTGCTTAGTTCGACACCCAAGACACGAACTTGGCTGTTGCTGGACGGCGTCGTTGACCCGAGAAAACCAGCAATCGCTGCCGAATCGATGGACCGGAGATTCCTGTTCTGCCGGAAGATGTAGTTGCCAGTTTTGGGATCCTTCGAGATGACGAACACACAAGAGCTTTCGATTGCAGACTCTTAATGTTGACTCTTGAATAGACTTATATAACCCCCCCTTGTCGAATCCATGAGACTCCTTACATATAAGTTTTAAGATCTTATGATACACCGTGCCACCGCCTGTCGAGCGCTCGATAATATGCCACAATGCGTGATGAACGTTCAAAGGAACCTAGATGTTCCATGTGGCCAGCTCAACAAAAAAGGATAGAGGTTGATGTTTTGGTTCAGTAGCATGCAATTGTGACAATACAATATGATATACTGTATAATTACTTTAACATGATTCAAATATATTACGTTATATCAAATTATATCTATTTTGTATGTATCAATTTTCCAGAACATCATAAGCCACCAATCTGCATTCCACCAGGGCTCAAAGGCACCCGCAAAGGAATCACCACCTGGGCCAAAATAGCAAAGTGATCCCTGCACGGGAGACTGCAAATCGCCTCAGCCACGTGTACTTTGCATGTTGTTTCTTTTTCCCCAAGCGTGGCATGGTGAAAACGCTCATCTGGATGAGTTGCAGTTGCACCACACCAAGTTGCACCCCAACGTTTTTGAAGCAAAGGCGTTGGAACCGAAAGACACTTGCGGTGGTCGTCTGACATGTCGTCCTTGTGTCGTCTTGTCCTCCAACATGCCCCAGACACTCCATGGGACTGGAATATTTGCCTACCTTTGGGTGCTTTGAGCCATCAATGTAGGCATATATATAACACATGTTTATTGTTATTGTTATCTATATTATTAGCAACACATACAATATAACATATACAAATGTATCATAACATAGTACAACACATATAATCTATACACATGTATATATATATATTATTCTCAAGTCTCATGGAGTACCTGGGTAGTACCGTTGGTCCACTTGCGGCAAACGCCAATCGCCAAGGGGGTTCTTTCAAAGAAAAAGACTGCCCTACGGCAATCGTGTGCTTGCTGCTTGCCAAGGAGTTACTCACTGGACAGTCCACTCGCACGAACTGCTCCTCAAAGGAGTTGCCTCGAGTATGGCAATAGATGGCGCTGTCGATGGGATTAATGCCACAAGCATTGAGGCAAACGCCTGGGATGTAACACAGATCCTTGGTCCGTCGCCCGGATTGATATAACATAGTCGTGACTTCAAACATTGAGCACGCCGAGGCATCAATCAGTCGAATCATTACCTAAACAATCTATGGGGCTGGAAGGTTGGCTATCAACGTAGGAGTGGTTTGAGGGGTCAACATAGGCATCGTCTGAGGTGTCCAGGTTATTCTTGAAAGACGTGAAACGCCTAACGCCTCAAATGTCGTTTAAGACATCCGCTGGTGCTAATGCTACTAATCCTGGCACCAGGGATACCCTGGTCGTGTTCCCAGCCATCCAAGGTTTGGTGGGAAGTTCCACTTTTATGTGCTTTGGATCCATCCATGGGCACTCGGATGGAATTCAACGGATCAGTCTGGATCCAATGACTCTGGACTTCTCAACAGAATGTCTGGATCCAATGTATGCCTTAGATGTCCAACAAAAAACCATGTTTTGGCGGCTCCAGGCTCCACTCAAATAAACGTGCGGTTCCTGCTTAAGGTCACCTCAAGACCACCTTTTTAGACATCATCTTGCGCTCCCAAACGATCCTTCTCGTGCCGAGGTCAAGTGGTCGTTGCACAGCGAACACTGCGAACAAAAGACGGGTCTGTCAGACAGGTTCAATTGGGCAACGGACAGAAACTGCGCGCACACTTCGACATTGGCTTTCAGTTAACTCAATTGCCAGGTCAAAGGAAGGTGGTGGAACCGAAAGGTGAAAAGTCCGAGAAGTTGAAGATGTTTGAACAATGTTTCGCTCTCAACTGCGGTGACAGGCGGCAAAACGCGTGACTGCTGAAAGTGGCTGAGAGAAAATGGTTTAGGGGAGGTATCGTGAACAACCATGGAAGCAAAAAAGGAATGGACAGCGTGAACAACAGTTTCTTTGCAGGTACACGGTCAGACGTCTCTGACCGCATCCACCGAGCAAGCATAGCTTTGTTAGCCAGCGTTTGCTTGTCAGCCGCTGGCCCCCTGCTGACTTGAAGAGTTGGACAACCGTTGTAAAACCCTTAGAGACAGGGTGTGACACACACAACAAGCCGAATTCGGCGCGGGTACAGAGCAGTGGAAAAACGGACCTTTTTTCAAAAACCGCCTGCACGCTTGCAGGTCATGCCCTTTTTGGGCGTAGAGCTGGACCAATTGCAAAATGGACAACTGAATGAACTCCTGAGATCAAGTGGATCGTCTGTGATGGAAAGGTGAGGTAAACGTATGACATGAGATGCCGTGTAAAGCCTCGAGATACGTGTGAAAGCTGGACAAATGGCTGCGGATAAAAAAATGGGAACATGCAGTAACGACACATGAGGCATGACCGTGCAGAGAGATTGATTGAATCCGTCGTTTATAGCCCGGCGGCTCAAAACTCCGTTAATTCAGTTATGGAAGTGAGAAACAAAGAATCAGTAATAAGAAAGAAAGCCGATGCTTTCCGGAATGATAACAGCGCCTCCTTTCGGAGGGTCACACCCAGCACCCAAGTGGGAAGACTGAGCGGCTCACACTTCGACATTGGTTTTCAGTTAACTCAATTGCCAGGTCAAAGGAAGGTGGTGGAACCGAAAGGTGAAAAGTCCGAGAAGTTGAAGATGTTTGAACAAATGTTTCGCTCTCAACTGCGGTGACACGCGGCAAAACGCGTGACTGCTGAAAGTGGCTGAGAGAAAATGGTTTAGGGGAGGTATCGTGAACAACCATGGAAGCAAAAAAGGAAGATTGGACAGCGTGAGCAACAGTTTCTTTGCAGGTACACTGTCAGACGTCTCTGACCGCATCCACCGAGCAAGCATAGCTTTGTTAGCCAGCGTTTGCTTGTCGGCCGCTGGCCCCCTGCTGACTTGAAGAGTTGGACAACCGTTGTAAAACTCTTAGAGACAGGGTGTGACACACACACACACACACACTTGCTTAGAATGAAAACTCGCAAGAGCAAAGTGCAAAACCAAAGTGCAGTAAGACCCTTAGGAAGTCTTAGAAACACGGTGTAACACTCACACACACACAAACACACCGTCCACAGCTCCAGAACTGCTTGAGAAGCTCCTAAGAACCTTCTGGAACTGATTTCAGGTTTGGGTTTGAAACGGTTTCAGGTCTGGTTCTCCTAGAAAAATCCGGTTGGACTGGCGGACTGGCGCCGTTCGTCCCAGACTCGGTGTACTGAGAGGTGTTCAGGTCCAAGGATGAAATGGTCGCCATCCCATTGGCACAGTTGTTTCCGGTGTTGATTTGCTGCAAGGGGAAGCGGGAAATCTCTTCGTTTCCACATGGCCAAGGTATTGCAGGACCACAGTCTGCCCTGGAGACGAGTGCTTGCCATTCAAGATCTGAAGTCATAGTACGGTCGACATTGGCGTATGTCTGGTGCTGGAGCAAGGCCTGAAAGGGATCGTCTCGCTTTTTCACAAGCATCTGCAACATTTGCCATTGCAAAGTTCTCGCTAGTGAGTCCCTCTCACAGCACTGAGTATCAGAACACAAGGTTGCCATGATAGACTACACCAAAATGATGGCGATCTGCATGATGTTACTGCAAATGATTATCACTAAGCATCTTCAAATGCTGGACAATTGGAACATGTTTTTTTGTTTTTAATGTTCTTTGTCCTGTATTCTCTCAACAGCTGGATTTCGGGATTTCGTACTACTCGGTGTGAACCATAGGACAGCCTTTCCTTTCCGGGTCATTCCACAGCTCAGCCGATGTGTCCAAACAGAACCTCAGTGGTCCCTAGTTTGGAATTTCAAAGAACAATACTCCCATCAAAGGCAAAAGGAGCTACAGTATGTCCTATAGTTTGATGCATGTACATGAGAGCCATCCGAACTTTCTGCATTTTTGAAGGCGGAAGGCAGGTCGGTCTTTCACGGTGACTGGGACTGGCACATGTGGCATGAACGGCCAGGGGTGGTCGTTGGCTGAAAAAAGAAAGCGGGTCAATGCAAATATAATTATAGGAACAAACATATCATAGAATATAACATACCCAAACCCTCCCATGGGACTGGTATATTTACCGATCAGTCCCAGGGGTGGTGGTTTTTTGCGGGGGAAAAAAAAGGGGCGGCATATATGACAGACCCTAGGGATCCACATACCGAACCTCAGGTTCGGTACTTGGGCCGGCGCCTACACAAATGGTCTCCGTCTTCACCGGGTACCAATCCCGAGGACGCGGTCACGAACACACGCGGTCATGCGGACGCGGGGTGAGCGAACACCTACCACGAACATCGGACGTCCAAGTCCAAAAAGGGAGGGTAGAAAAGCGCCGTTACAAGTGGTTTGTATCTGGGCGTATGGGATTTCTGGGGTGGAGAGTCTTGTTCTCCTTGAATCGCACCCCCCAAAACGGCACGAAAAACCAAAAGAGTCGGCCCGGAAACGCCTCCGGAAAGGCCCTACGCCTTGACTGGCCAACCACGGGTTGCACGCGACGGAACACGTGGATTCCACGGCGCCTGGATGTCTTCCGATCCGCAGGCTCCGGAACGCGACGGCTCCACGGTGTGGCCGGGCTCGGAACATTGAAACGTCTCCGCACCGGAAAGGCTGATCAAGGAAGTGAACGTCAACCACATGGCGCTGCACATGGCGCCAAGGACGAAGTGGTTCCTTCGTGCCAAGGACGGAGCTCACAATGTTTGAGCCAAAACTATGCGGATCAAACAATGGAGCCTGGTTTTAGCCTCGTTTTCGAATGACTACGCTCTAAACCCTCAGAGGATCCAAACAGTTTCCAACTTCCAAGTGACCTACTTGCGGAAGATCACCAAGCCATAACCAAAACTAGCGTATAGACTCACAAATTAGCATATAGACTCACAATTCATATATACAAACTACCCCCATTTGGATTATATGGAAGTCTAATCAATCACATTAGGAAGTTCGGTCACTTTCAAGAACCAGGGCCCGTTATGTAAAGAAATACATCTTCCCTGCAACGTGGAGTTGCGCAGCCGCCTGCGATTTTGCAGCAAAAAGTCTGGCAGAAAAAAATAAACAAAAACGATGAACACGAGCCTCTGCAGTGGAGATTCTGTATGTGCAAGTCACGTTTACTTGTTCGTGTTGGACATCACCTGATCTAGATGGTATAGCCCAGAGCAGCTTGTTGGACAAATCAGTGGCGGCGTCCCTTCTGTCAGTCACTGGTGGTCACCAGTTCGCATTCAGATTTGGAGAAGTCATGTACATATAGTACATACAGAAATCATGTGTTTCATGATTCCCATTTCCCATTGGATTGTGAAGACCTCGTCATTGCATGACTGGTTCTTTTCCAATCCAGCTGTCGACCGCAGCCTTCGGGGTCAGGTCACCAGCCTGGAGGACCTCCTCCAAGAAGCTCACCGGCAAGGCGTTTCGCAGCTCCAGACTGGTGTCGTCAACGCAGCACGACGAGACCGTGCTGAATGTGTGGTGACGAGTGGTTGGAAAATCACCGGCCTAGGGTTTTTGGGAGACCTGCTGGCCCAATACAGTATATCCCTACAAGTCAAAGACCTCATTTTACTGGAGATGGTCATACAAAATCAATACTTACTGAGTAAAAGACCAGGTTTTACTGGGTCTTTGGACTTGCAGGGTATCTGTATCTGCTGTTTCTTTTCATATGCACCAATGCACCGTAGATTTGCCCGGATCCCGAACCCATCGGCCAAACGCCGGCTCTCCCGTCCGAAACGAGTGGCTTCCACCTTACGATTTCGATCAGACCGGTGCACTGCAGCGTGCACCGCAAGCGTTGAAGGAGAGAAGACGGTGGTCACCGTTGACCACATGCGTTGACGGTGGGAGTGTACATGTGGAAGACGCTCCCCGGCCGATCTGGAGAAATGCTCCACAGTGGTTCAAGCAATCGGGCCAGGCAGAAATTGACATAGAATATGTCATGATATTAGGGCTCCTAGCTGCTCAGGTGGCTAGACCCAGCAAATCCAGCCCACCGTTGAAACAGAAGTATTTGGCAGCCCTGCCATATTGCTCAATTATGTATAATATAATTGTTGACCATTCTTGCATAAAGACAGAAACCAAACCACCCAGCTGCAACCGATGGAGCGTGCTCCTATTGGCTTTCCCGACTCTTTCTTCAGCATTCCACATCCACTAAGTCACAACATGATGTTGCAGGCAGCCATTGGTAAACACAACAAAATCGGCAGGACAGGACATTTGACTCGTCACCTTCATACACTGATTCACCAAACATATGCAGGGATGGAATATGATGGAATGTCCAACCACCGGGCTCTCACCTCAACTGAGAGATGCTGGAGAGGAGGGCGATGTAGTCCTGCAAACAGTGAGACAGTTGGCCTACCTAGGTCAAGCTGACTGGGCACACACCTTCTCTAATGTTCGGGGAGCTGCAGCATGTGTTTGTCATGTTTTTGTCACGAGTGATCATCTCCACATCTAGAGTAGATTGAATATCAAAAAAATAACCTACAATTCACGCGACCCGTTTCCCATTGTGTGTGTGTGTCGTTTCATGTTCTATCTATATCGTATTCTGCACGGTGCTCGGACGCATCTCTCAAAGCTACCCACCAAGGCCTTGGTTGTGCCACGAAGAAAGCTCGATTCCGAAGTGTAAGAAACACCACATACACACCGTTCACACACCACAGAAATCAATGGGTAGACCATGGTAGACCAATCAATCAATCAATCAATCAATCAACCAATAACTTGCTTACCAATCAAAAGACGTTTCTAAAGTATCCAACAAATATCGCTTTGGTGACGCAAATGTCACATGTTGTGACCTCGAATGCATTCTCAGTCCCTCAGTACGTGCTTTTTGTCTGATTGTTTCAAACGGCCATACCATCTCAGCTCCCAACGGCCAGGAAGGTGTGAATTGTAGCACCAGAAATGGGGAAGTCACCACGGCCAAAGTCGAATCATGACGCGGAAGAAACGAAGAAACCCGCGGTCGGACCGACTCACAGAATCGATCTGCTCGAACTTCTCATGCTCCATCCATCGCCTTGACATGGAAATACATGAATCAAACTTGTACTTTCCAACTGAATCTAGAAATCGTGTTTCTGATGCTGATGTCATTCTCCCTTGACCAGTACGGCCCAATGGCAAAGCCAAAATCTCTTCCATCCGTCTCCTGTGCTGCCAGGCGGTCCAAACTTCGCAAGACGGTCTCGGACAAACTCCTGCCACAGAACCAACAGTGTCTTCCGAAGCAAAGGTGAAACGTGTCACAGCTCCGGAAGAAGGGGATGCCAGGTGTCATCACTTCCCAAGATTGATGTAACGTCACATCCAAATTCAGATCCAGAGGGGGGTGTTGATGCTAATTAAATCTAATTAAGATCTAACATGATCTGAACAAAAGCCTCCTGGCTGATCTGATCCTCTTTTTCCAGCGGTATTCGTGCCCCCACCCGGTCCTGAGAAGTCGCTCGTCCAAGTGCTGCGCGTCGGCCAAGGCCAAAATCACCGACACTGCGTGCGTTCCTCGGAGTGGTTTTGCTTAGCCTTCGCGCACCCGGTGGGTGGGTTTGATTGAACACGCTTTTGGGTGTCCGGAGTGTTTCTATGGTGTTCTTCAGATCCTGGAATTACGTATTCTTCTCTGCGGAAGTGAGGGGTTCGTCTCATCCCGGTGATGTCTTTTTTAGTGGACTTGTGATGGGTGTTCGTCTAATTGATCAGCGTTTTTTCAGAGAACTCCCTTGAGTTCCAAGATGTTCCTGCTTGGATTCTCTTCTCTTCTCTTCTGACTTTTCACACACCATGCATTCCTTAAGGACCTCGACATCGTCGGAGCACCCTCCATGTCTTCGATTTTTGAAAGCCATCCTTTTATGAAAACCCGCTCGTCCAAGCATCCAAAGAGCACGTGTGAGAGCTGCTGTGCCCGAGCGGCCAAGGCTTTCAGGAGCTGCTCATCGGCCCAGCGACTGCTATGAAGGCCTTGCAGGGTATGCGTCAACCTGGGCCGATGAGGGCCAACTGGCCGAGCTGAATGGGCTTTGGGAAAGGTGCTTTTGGGTCGGAATTGTTGGGGCGTGCTAGGGAGACGGATATGGAGGCCTTGGAACAAGAAGACGTCTTGCTGGAGTGCTTGATTCCGCTCAAAGGAGTTGGGTGTGCGAAGTTCCGCTCCTGGGAAATCCATGCCTGGTGGTTCAACGGACTCTACGAGGACTCTACGAGGACTCTACGAGGAGCCGGCCATCCAACTGTTCACGTTGGACGAGTGATTAGACAAGTCGGCTTGAAACTATAGTGCTCTCTCATGGCAATGCTCAACTGTCGCCTGAAGAAGGGTCTTCAAATATGCCAATATTCTATATTACATCACATCCCATTTTTCTGCCAGTAGTATCAGCTGCATTCCTACACCCAGCCCTACCCCCACCAGCACGAGGAAGTCCAACCGCTCGGCGTGTCTGAGACGTGACTGAGAAAGCTCAGGACCGAGGACCGAGGACAGCTCTCAGCCGGGCAGCTGCTTGGGTGAGAGTTCATCCGCCAGGTCTTTCGCCTTCTCAGCCATGGCTGGAAAGAACTGAGGAACTGCATAGGAGACCTGAAGGCGGTCAAGGCGAGGTTCGAAGGCGGTCGGGCCTAGAAGTCGGTGTGTGTTACACCGGAGAAAAGTGGAGAGTTTGGTTTGATGACTTGCGCGGGTCATTTGGGAAACGATTTTCATATGCGTGAAAGCGTGTTTGGTTCAAAAAAGTGGACGGTTGCCGTGAGTCAAATTCCATGATTCGAAAACGAGGAAAACATCACTCCCATAGGGGCCGATCAAATATCACCAATCATATCATATTTGTCCTGGCTTCGCATCAGCCGTAACTGACAGCTGCCGGTTACACATTTTAGGGTTCAGGCTCTGGGTTTAGAAACTTTTGTTGAGCAAGCGAAACCCTAATCACTTATATGGGCTTGTCTTTTTTAAGGTGTCCAGTTTATGTAGGACTGGGATGTTCGACTTAGGCGAAGCATACCCCGAAGCATACCCTGAAGCATACCCTCTGGAAATGCTACTACTTAAGCATACCCCGAAGCATACCCCCGAAGCATACCTCCGAAGCATACCCCATAGTCAAACATCCCGGCCCGGGAACCTTAAAAAAATACAAACCCATATAACTTCCTTACTTCTGAAGGTTTCCCTCAACCCTAGACGTAATGTACTTTACTTGGGCCGGGCTTAGGGTTATACAAGGCCAGTTTACTGTAGATAAATTTTGGACATGTTTTGCTCTTTATTCGGAAAGGATTGAGGGTTTAAGATGGATGTTTATGGGTTTAGGAGGCAATTTCAGTAGCGAAGGTGGGCTACAGTCCCTGATCCCGGAATCAAAAATTCAGTTTCGAATCTTTTGAGAACTAGATATTGAAAACTTCACCAAACTCAAGAGTTCAGTTTGGATAATTCTCCAAGCTCAAGGAGGTTTGCAAATTTCCCCCACGAAGGCCCGAGTTTGGAGAAGTCTCCAAAATCAGGAGTTGAGTTTGAAGATTTCTCCAAATTAGTGACTTAGAATAGTTATCCAAACTCAAGGCCCGAGTTTAGAGCAATCTCCAAACTCAAGGGTTGACTCTTGGAGAAATCTCCAAACTCCAAAAAATGTTGACACGCATATTGACTCTGAGTTTGGAGAGAGTTTGGTTCTTTCTCCAAACTCAAAAGAAAATATGCGTGACCAGGTAGTTTTTCAATTTTTTGCACCCTCGATCACGCATATATTTTCACAAAAACAGCTTGATCACGCATATGTTCTTTTGAGTTTGGAGAAAGAACCAAACTCTCTCCAAACTCAGAGTCAATATGCATGTCAACCATTTTTTGTGGAGTTTCTGGATTTCTCCAGGGAGAAATACAATTGAGTTTGGAGAAATCTCCACACTCAACCCCTGCGTTTGGAGATTTCTCCAAACTCGGGCCTTTGTCAGCTGAGTTTGGAGAGTCTCCAAATTTGGGCCTTGAGTTTGGAGAATTCTCCCAAGTCACCCAACAAGGAACACTAAAATGTGTTCAAATTATCATGTAAATCATTAAAAGTCCATTTGATTTGGAAATCCTTTAATGTCGCTGTGCTGTTGCTCGGCATAGCATATATATATCTATATGTACACAGCTGATTTATAAAGTCGGACGGTGGGCATTTGACATGTTAGTCGGTCAAAACACCTGATCAGCTCCCCAGCTACTTGATCACGCATATTGCTTGGAGACAGCACACCCGTGCAAGTTATCAGTTTGGTTGTCATTCATCTGAAATCTCCGACCTCGGAGAATGCGTACAAGTACCTGGTTCTTCAAAGTGACCGTACTTGATAACCTGGTTTGAGGTCACTTAAGCCTTCAACAGGGTCACTTAGGAACCTTCAAAGGTCAAATTGAAGAAGCTGGTACATGATTTTTTTTTTAAAAAAAAATAATGAATAGGGTCATGTCACCATGTCCCATATATGTTCAAGGGTAATGAACTGGAGGGTCCAGGTAGATGTAGCGTGGTGTTGTAGAGTGGCCTTGGATGTTTCACATCGACGTGATTTTCGTGCAAACTTGCAACCATTTGCAACATAGCAAATCCTACTTGACCTCTATCATTAGCTTGAAATGTGGGTGGCCCTTCGTCCCCAAAGAATCACACATCATCACACATCCATACTGTATATTAATATGTGTTGTTTTGTTGAGAGGAATTGATGACTTACATGGTGCTTCCATCGCATCACAAACAACGTTGCACTCTGACTCACTAACATGGAAGAACAACACTCTTTTCATGCCAGTGATTCTCAGGGTATACCTGACAATAGATCCCTGCAAGACAGTCCTCTATACACACCAGGACCAAGGCCTACAAGTCGAGTTGGTTTCAAGATTTCTGGGCGGCGCCAGTGGATTGACTTTCTCGGTTTTCCAACTCGCTCATCGCGTTTCTTCTCGATCTTGTTTTCGTCACTAAGTTGCAAGAAGCACTGAACACCCATGCCCTGCACTGCCCTACATGTATGACCCGGCAGCTCCGGAGACCCACCATCCGAACCACCAGGCGGTCTTCCCTTCCACCCCGGGTCTTCGCACATGGGCGGAGGCGGAGTTGGACCAAAACGGTTAAGCCGGGTGAACCGGGCTGTGTTCACTCACGGTTCGGTCGCTGATGTCTCCCAGTCGCCGGCGCAAAGACTTGGAACGCCACCGACACCTGCGCGAGGCGAGCAAAGCGAGCAAAGCGCGTCGCGACGCGAGCAAAAGCGCGAGCAACGCGAGTGAACGAAAGAGCGTGAGAACGAACAGTCAACGTTTTGGGTCTGCTAAGCTGGAGCTTCACTGGTTTTGAAGGCTGTATAAGGATCGTATTCAATCGTGTTTTTTTGTCTGGGCACAGGCAGCCATCCAGTTAGCCAGCAAAAGATGGTCGCTTCTCGACATACTAGTGTTGGAGGTGACCAATGTGGGTGAGGATTGAATCCCAAAACCTATTTGGAGAGAATTTCTAACCAGCTATATGGAACAAACGAGGTGTAGAACATGGCAAATTTCGAGGACACCAACTCAGCAAAACGGTTCTCTACCCTTTGCAAATGACCCCAATCAACCCAGGCATCCCCTTACTCAAGGATCAATATATAGTCTATCCAGGCTGTTGGTCCAGGCTGAACAGTGGAGTCTTGGATACTTCCCCTGGCCTGTGATTGATTTCTGATTTGAACTCTACATGTTTGGGAGGTCATGTTTGAACTATATAGCTCTACACCTGTCGCCGTTCCGCCGCCTCTCCGGCGTTCCAGGGATCCAGTACACCTGGACCGCTCCCAGTTCGAAGGATCCAGTGGCCCGCTGCAGCCCCCGGTGGCCTCATGGGCTCCCATCTCCGGAACCTTCCTCTGCAAGCGCTCGGCCACATCTGCCAGGAAGTCGGGATCGCTGCAGCTGGCCTGGCCGAGAAGTTTCTGCGGTTTTGGAGCGGTTTTGGAGCGTCGCGCACAGCTGGCTGGCAGATGGGTGAAGGGTGAAGGGGGTGAAGGGGACCAGAGTTGAGGTCAAAGACTCATGGCTCTAGTATCTCGTCATGATCCAGCTGCTTCCCGCTAGTGGGTCTGGTCCTTTCCCCCCATGCCGGCCTTGACGAAGCATTCGGCGAGGGTGCACAGGTCTCGACAGCCGAAGTCCAAAATGAAGGACCTATGGCGGTGCAGAGGTCTCATCATGCAAAAAAAACACCGATTCTTTCATGCAAAATGACGAAGTTGGCTTTGGATCCTTTTCTTTGTAAGGTCATGTTCGGGGAGGATGTATTTTTAAATCATGACTCCACATGTGTTCTACCAGCCCATCCTTCGATTCGAAGGGAGCTATGTCTTGTGCTCTCTCGGGCGCAGCTCCGAAGTCAAAACGAATTCAAAAAATGCCAGGGCGCAGGTTGGTTCAGGAACACGCGTCCCTGATTTCTACATCTTGGGAGTTCTGAGCCTGAGACTCAACAGGTATAACGGCACAGGGAACTTCAGCATCCCCAATGGAAACACAAGAAGGACAGGATCAAAACATGTCTTTGCCAGCACTTTAAGTATCTGTTCACACACCTTCAACCAAATGTTGTCCATCACATGGTATCTTCAGCGCCCCACACCACCCGAGCACCTGAAATTCATTTCATCTATACGCCCTCCTTCCCAACGACCCCCGGACCGATGCGGGTCTCAGCACCACTCGCCACGAAGTCGCCTTGCTGCAGGCATCAGGAAGTCCTTGAAGGCGTCCACCCCGCCCCGGCCCTCCGACAAAGCCGAGGCGAAGTAGACCTCGATGGGCGTGAAGACCGACGTCCACCGGAGAAGAATCAGCCGAGACTATGCAGGGCACCGGGGCGGAAGTGGTGAGGATATGAAGATGTGGGGAAATAGGGAGGATGATGAAGTCATTTGGGAAGAGGAATCCTCTCAGAACTGCTCATCCAAGTCAACATGCCTATGGGTTCCTACCCTGAGAATCTTGAAAAATCGGGCCTTTTCACTGAAACACATAAATCATGTACCAAAAGCGACCAACAATATCATATGTTTTGAACAACTAGAACCACCAACTTCTGGGTTGCACAGATTATTCATCAAGAGGCGATGACATGTTTTGTTGGCAGATCCGGGTCGATGGAATGCTTGGTGGAGGCATTGAGAGGCTAAAAGTTGGTGCTCAAATCGGCATAGTGAGACTATATATGTGGGATACTATATAATATATATATATACATATACTACATGTGGGGTACTATGATATATATGACATACAAATACATGTAACGCCAGCAATTCACTCACGTCTTTCGCCAAAGGGTGATATTCGCCAGTCAAAAGCATGCTCCTGGTAGTACACCCACACTTCAAATCAAACCACAGGCATGATCCCATTCTAATCGTTGCAGAACCTAAGCATGGACCTGCTCCTCCTAGAACCAAACGGAATCCACAAACATCCAACAATCATGACTAATTTGGACTCTGGTTCAGTATTTTGTGGGTGTGCCATGAATGAAAAACCTACTTCGACTACAGCCCCAAGCACCACTGCACGGGGTGTGCACAGGTGAATCTGCCGGCGCATCGCCTGCGGAGCGCCGATCGATTCGCCCATCCGTTCGTCCCAAATCTGGCACTGGCGACGTATTGGTCTTTGAGGTGAGGTGAGTGAAGCCACTTTGAAACCAACACCTCGACTTTGCGGAGAGACTGACATAGACCATATGTACTGATTAGTCCTCAGATTTGACTCCCGATTTAGAGGATTCACACTCCAAAAGTACAGCTTCCAGAAGCCGGATATAGTCGGATATAGTGGACAAAAACACCTGATGGTTGCAAACATGGAAACGTGGCTTGATTTGGCTTGCAAATGAAAGGACATGCATGTCCCCTGTAAAACATTTATGAGGCCTTTTCGACGCCAGGTTCTTGTTTTTGATGTCGCGACGCAGAAGCTTCCTGAGAAGCTATTTTGTCCACCTTCAATGTGAAGCACCTTCAGGTGCCACATTCAGTGAAAGCAAGAGCATAACAGGACAAAGCCCAGTGCTTCTTTTGCCTATTAAATTTATCCATGAAGGAGTAGAGTATCAAAGGCACCACAGAAGCTCTGGCACCAACGGATTTAATACTTAATGATTCAACAATGGCAGAACTGCCAGAGTACATGGTCATCGGGTCGCTAGCTGCGTAAAGGTTCTAAGAAGCTTATAGCTCAACTGTCGAACACGCAAATGTTCACAACAAAAAGGCATCCTAATTGGATCTTTAACACAAAACAACATCAAATATGGACTCATACGCAGCTAGCAGCTAGCTGACTTGCAGCATCATTAACGTGCACTTTGCACCATTGTCTCCACCAAGACAGTCAACTTTTCAAGCTTGGTCCTTAGGTGAGGATCAAAACAAACATGTAACGGTAACGTAACATGGTGAGGATGAATCAACACATATAAACTATACACTTCTATCAAAGTCTTCGGGGTGATTTTCTGTACAACCCCCCATGGGTCAAAGGAGGGCCAGACTCAACCTGCAGGTCGTCTTCACGCCTTGTGACCTGGTTTCGAAAGCTAGAAGACGTTCCCCGCACCAATTCAGGTGGAGTGTGATCTTGGATGGGTGTAGAAATTGGCTGCTACAGAATGAAGGTAGGTCCGTTTCCTCGTTGCTTCCCTTTTCCTGTTTGAGGGGCCGACGCAGCCCAAAAAGCCTCGATCACGGCTTTAACCTTGACCATGATGGTCAAAGTCGAGGGTGCCGGAAGGCCGTTTCGCTTGATCATTGAACCCTAGACTTCCGTTCGACCGTTAAGAACATGGTTGACCTGGTTTTTGTAGTGTAAAATCCTTAGTTGATTCGGTAGAGCCTATTAAATTAATGGTTGTTGGAAGCCTAGGGGGACATAAGGATGTCAGGAAATACTGACAGTATGGTGCCAATATTCCTGGTCGCTATGGGTACCGCCTGGTTTAAATGGGGTTCAAGAAATGGTGACCTTCTGCAATGTAGGTTCTAGATGATTCTAGACTCCACACAGATTTCCCTAGAATCACTACCAAATGCTCAATGTTCATGGACGGAGCACCACTGCTGCAGAAACTTCAGCTAAAAAAGAGTTGCGGTGAATGAACAAACAAGGAGAAGCTTCTCCATTCCACGTAGATTATCTTCCATTCCCTGCAGCTTGTGTGCCATACCATGCAGCTGCTCCTTTTGCTCCTTCCTTAGCTGGTCAAATGGACGTGCTCAACAAAATGCTAGCGACGACAAAACAAACACTGGTATCACTTCCACCGGAAAGAACAATAACACAAGGTGAAGCGTCTGCATATCCTGTAGCTTGTCTTCCATTTGTTGCAACTGCTCCTTCTGCTCCTTCCTAAGCTTGAGAAATCTGAGTGCGCTCAACAAAGGCTAGCCATGTCGAAAAGAACCACACTCCCACCTCCCCGATAAAGAAATACTTGATAGGATGTGAAGCTTCTGCTGCGTAACCTGTAGCTTGTCCTCCATGAGTTGCAACTGGTCTTTGTACTGATTCCTTGGTGCGCACAAGAAGCAACCGTACAAAGGCAAGAAAGCAGTGGCAAGAAAGCAGTTCACTTGCTTCACTTTCCGACCTATTCACAAGTCGTCCAAGCTTCTGTGCCGAAGTGAGCTCGGTGAATTTGTTCCTTACAGAATCTTGCAAGAGCAAGAATGACAGGTCCTGAAATCTAGTTCTTCCACAAAAAAGAGGTGCAAAACATTGTTACAAGCCCTCCAAATACTGTAGATGTTCTTCATCCCGCTTCTCTTCATTACGCTGGAACAAATGCCTTGTAAATTTACACCGCCTAAATAGACAGGGTCAGCTATCGAGGAACACGCCCTTTCCAGAAGCTCCTCACCACTGACAGGCGTTGCCAAGCTGTGCAATCGAGGGTCTCTAAATGCTTTTGAACTTGTTGCGCACCTCACTGGACTAAACCAGGCCCCCAAAAAGGATTCAACACTTGTTCAATAACTTTGTGCAAATACATGTGAACAGGACATATAATAACACAATATAACACATCCGGAGGACAAGACCCACATCGAAGCGAACCACGGGTTTCAAAGCTATACAAGTGATTTATTGCCGAGCTCCACATGGTCTACGTAAAGCCCTAACATGCTGAAAAGAGGGGTTGGTGACCTTGGTGTTGCCGGTTTTCACCGGATTTCTTCTTCGAGACTTCTCCAAAGCTAAGTAGCTATTCTTCACCTCCGATCGGACACTCCTGAGGTCCTCAATCGGTGGCTCGGGCCGGAGCACCAACCATATGCGACATTGCTGCGCTGTCGCGGTGCCTCGAGGTCCGCAAAAGCCCAGTGCAACCGCCAGCCTGTAGAACATGCCTGGAAGTTGACATTGGAAGATGCAGCGGCCAATGATCAAAAGCAATGCGAGGCAAGCTGACAGGGCAAAGGAGACTGGGAGAAGCATGATAATCATGACAAAGCCAGCACGGTAGATTGTCGCCAGGCGAACCAAGTGTTCAGCTAGTGCTTTTCGCTTCAATCCTCCCAGGTTCAATTCATCGCGTCCGAACGCATAGATCCAAAGAGGAGCAAGCGGCAACCAAGAGAATGCAAGCATAGTGGACAAGAGAGGATCAGCCACAACCTCACACTCATTTACTCCCTCAGGCTCAACGACAGACTTGTCTTTGGAATCCACATTCCCCTCATCCTCAACCTCATCTTTGGAATCGACTTCCTCCTCATCCTCAACCGCATCTTTGGAACCCGCTTCCTCCTTCAGGACAGCTTGGAACAACAACCAGAAAATGTGCTTCCAAGGTCTTGCTTGGAGTTCCAGCAGCATCTTGGCTCGCGCACGGTAGAAGAGTATAGCACTCTGTTCCTCGTAGAGCTCAAAATTCTGCCCGAGAACTCCGACCAGCAGATTCATCAAAAGGATCGTGATGCCCACCCCGATGAAATAGAAAAGGGCGTGTGCCCAGACCTCATTTGTCACCCTGATGTGGTCATCAAGCTGTCCTTTTATATCGTCGCATATATTATATATATAATAATATATATATATATTATATGTATGATCAAATGATCAATTATGATTCTACGGAGACCCAGGTCTCACTGTCGACTGTAGAGAGGCATCTACAAAAACACGCCAAAGGATGCAAAAGGATCCCACTCCTGTCAGCAAAGCGACATAGTCGGGTCCTGGATCAGGATCCTGTGGCTCCCACTGGGCCTCCTCGTTCATCTTGTAGGTGGGGTCCAGTCCTTCAAACTCGTAGAGGTCAAAGTCTCCAAAAATGCCCAAGCGGATGACCTGCAGGAATGCAGCATAGCTTGGCGATGGCTCCGTCTTCATTTGAAGGTTGTGATAAGCGTGTGCGGCTGCAAGGATGCAAGTGCCAGTGACCATGAAGAATGCCTGTGTGTCTTTGATGGCGGACAGGATGGGCAACAATCGTGGACCCATCCATATTTCTCCACGGAAGGTATACAATGCCCGGAGCCAAGCCAATCCACTAAACACCGCCATAAAAGGTTTTTCTAGGCTGGGATCCGACGCTTGCCTCAGAATTGCACACCACCCTATGGTGATGTATGCGACGTCCGCCAGGTTGTCGAAGTCAAGGATATGCACTTTCCGTATGCACTTCAACATGATGTATTGGCAAAACTCTTCGATGGTTTTCTTGCCGTGAAGTACTGCAACAGCGCCAAAGTGATCCCTCAGCTTGCCCAAGACTTCAAGTCGGTGAACAAAACCATCAGCGACTTGAAGTGAACAATAAGCCTTAAGCAAATGGAGAGAAAGGTCTGATGAGATTGGCTTCTGAGGCTTCTGGCTGACTGCGATTTCAGCAAAGCGTAACAAAGCGATGCAACGGTCAGAAGGTTGGAGATCATCTCCCATGCAGATGCCCGCATTTGCATCCAGGCTGCTGAAACTACAGCCTGAATCACATCCGTCTCAAATATGCTTTCATTTGTAGTCTCTGTCAATGCTTCCAGCATCTCACGTGCGCAAGCATCACTTGCATACAGTCCAGGCAAGAAAAAGAGATTCGCCTGGACTGCTGGGGTATGGTATAAGTTCTGAGCTTCTAAATTGGCATATTCTGATGGTGCTTCAAGCATTCCTTCTTCCTTTCGGCTTGGAGATGCCAAGAACACCCGCAGTTGGTGTCGCAAGTGGGCACGCACGACCTGTGCGCTGGTTTCAGATGATCGCGCCGGGAGTGTGTGCCGCGTGTTTTGCGCAGTCCTATTGGCGTCTCTCTTCCAGAGTCGAAGGGCCTCTAAGGCATCTGGGCCCTCAGCTTTGATGAGATATAATAGGAGTGCTTTGTCCCCGAGGCCTGCTTCACAGAAAGCTTGGATGCCGAGGAGTCTGGAATCTTCTAGTCTCGATTCTTCCACCGCCAGAGCAAGAGGGGTAAGGCGGCGGAAGTCCTTAGTTTTTGCATTGGCATTAGCTCGTGCCTCCAAGAGCAGCTTGACTATGTCCTTGGACTCCTTGGTGGAGCTGGCAGCAGCCTCATGCAAGGGTGTCCAGCCATCTTTTGGATCTCGAGGAGCATTTACATTAGCTTTGCTTTGCAGGAGGAACCGCAGGGCTGCCGAGTTTTCATCCTGAAGTGCCCAGAACACACAAGTCATCGTTCCCTTTAAGTCCTTCTTTGCCCGGTCTTCCACTTGATCGAACCATTTCAACGCGGCCACATCTTTGGCGACTCCTGCGGCTTTCCTTGCTGTCTGGAAGAGCTTCAGCTCATCTCTCTCCATCAGATTCTCGTGACCGACATCTTGGTCCTCTGCCATAGTGAGAGTCACAGCAGAGCCCGATTCCTCAACAAAGTGAGCAGTTTGAGGAGCTGTCCGTGGATGGTGGGCCCAAAGGTTAAAACCACTCTGCACCTTGAGGTGAAAGTTTACTTGAGAGTTTAGATTTGAGACTATATATTGGGCTGCATCAGTATAGTATAATACATCTCTGACATATATATTTTAGTATAGTACATGCATGTCTGACATTTTATAGTAAAACACTGCCTCAATCAATGTATTCTGTTCCAACTTGGAGCCTCCGTTCGTAACCCCAAGTTCAATGGGATGGGGCCTCACAAAAGAACATTACGAATGGGTCCCGAACTGTTCAAAAAACTCTGGCTGGAGCAGATGAAAAGGCAAACACCAAAAAAAACTGACGGGGTGCGCTGTTCAGAACTTCCTCCGAGGGTGGACGTGCCCTCCGCGGCCTCACTCTCCGCTTCTTGGGCTTTCCATCCGTTGGCGATCGGGTGCTGACCGAATCGTTCGTGGCCTGAAACATGCGCAAGGCTCCGTCATCGGCTCGGCGGCTGGGCGGCTCGGCGGCTGCGCGGCTCGTTGGTCCGTGGGGCGGTTCGTGGGAGTCTCCTCGGGGGAGTCTCCTCGGGGGAGATTGGAGTGTATCGGTTTGGTGTCAAATTGAAGGATGAACATTGGAGTAGACTAACTACTTGCTTTTTCAGCTTCGAAGCCAACCAGCGCTATGTTGGGGAGGTAGTGGAGAGCCAGCCATTGCATTTCCGCTCCTCTGTTCATTTATGCGGAGATTCCAAGTTGAGAGACATTTGATGGTGCAATGTTTTGGAAGAAGCATGGTCCAACCAATTGTGTGATATATTCTTCTGCCCAGTCTAGTCAGAATCCCATGTTTCAATCGTGAAGCAAAAACACACACCAAGGCTAAAACAGCCACACCCTCGAGGCCATTCAATCGATGAGTGGTGCTCGGGATGCCTGGCCGGTTGAGTGGTGCTGCAAACAAGCAGGCATTGCCCAGTTGATGTTTCCAGGAATGGGCAATGGCTGGTTGGGACAATGGCTTGTACTTTCGCTTCCCAGCCTCTGACCAAGACGAGTACCAAGATTAGCTGTCGGTTCTCTCGAAGCTTGCTACAATGGACGAAAAGGACTCTTGGCAACATCGAGTATACATACACATCATGAAGGTTGAAATACCATGAAATACGACGTCACCCAACAACTGCCACAAAAATCAGCTACAAAATTCAGCGCTGCAAGACACATGTGCTGTGCTGCATCCTTAAACAGGAAAGTGGAAAGGCTTAAAGTGGGTGCGAGGCCATGAATCAAACCATGTCACAAGCAAACACCCAAAACGAAGGTGAACTTGCTAAGGAGGCACTTCTGTTTGTTTCCTGACCCCAACCAGGATGACAAGGTCCCCATCCACTTCCACCATTTCTGCAAAGAAGTGTCATCTTCGGAAGGGCAGTTCTCATACATAGAATTGCCATAGAGTGAAGTCCTGCCTTTGCAAAGGGTCAAACGGCAATAGGAACCTAAAGAGAAACTTGGGCGAAGGACACATCGATGTTCAATTCAACCAGTTGATCTGATTGCCCCACCTTTTCTACCCATGCTGCATGTGTTCTCTCCCTTACATGTAGTTTGAGAATGATACACTCCAACAAAAAACACAGAAGTGGGAGCTTTCTGTTTTGGAGAGGAAACTTGTCTTCCAAAGGACCCCCTTTGAATGTCGTCCACTTGTTTGTGTGTCTTTCTTTGGGGAATTGTACCATGAATCACATGAACATAGTACCAATGTAAACAATATATCAATAGAAACACAAACTTAAACATAGTACAAACTTAAATAAATATACACAATGAAAAACATATATTATAATATATATATATATTATAACATATTATAACTACAGTATATTAGTACACTTTGCGGCGACTTGCGGGCAAAATCCAGTCCGATGCCTTGTGCGTCTCGATAATCTTGTAGCATCTTCCGGCTGAGTCCAGTCACCCAAATGAGAACAACGGCCACAGGACATCTGCACGTGCGGCAGGGTCACCATGAAATCAGCTTTGTGCGGCTGAAGGCGGCAAAGGCTGAAGCTGCTTGAGTGTCTAGACTTTACTCTGCTGTCCATGGAACAGAATCAAGTACATGCGCATGGTGCAAGTGTGGACTGTAGACATGACAGGTTCACGAAGGTGACACCGTGACACCTGTATTTGGTGTTTGCAAATGCAATGACTGAGCGAACCGCCAAGGCGGGATGCAAACAACATGCAAACGCAAGATGGTGCAGATCTGAGTTGCAGGAAACTGGGTCTGACAAAGCGGTTTTCACAGGTTTTCACATGCGAACCTCGGTTAGCATCGAAAACAATGCTTAGCTAGGGCATACAGTGCATTCGTGGTGGTTCTCCCCTTGAGACAGGGCAAATCTTGGTTCTCCATGCAGACATCCACTGCTACCTGCAGGAGAGGGGTTATTATGCTACCTTCGGAACAACAGATCGACAAACCTTCACGACTTATGATGCTCAGCCAGGTGGTTTTAGCCATGTTGACATGAACTTGCAGGCAAGCTCAGCTTGACAAACCACTAAGTGCAACCCGGTTGGGTCTTGGGTAGTCGATATATAGATCCCTCAAAGCCCAGCGTGCCAGCAATGCTGAATAATATGGATCCTGCTATGCATTGCTACGCTTTCATTCTGTTGGCTTCAAACGGACCTGCATCTTGACCTTTTATATTTTCTCGGCCAGCTTCTTCCTTCACCTTGCTTCACTGCGCCGCGCCTGTGACCACGTCTGCGTTTCAACAAGTTTCAACCCAAAAAATAATCCATTGAGTATGAAGTCGACACGTGTAGAGTTTCGACACATGTTCCATTTGACTAGTATTCCACCTAGTACAGGATCCTACAGGTAAATCCTAATAATTATGCCCCATACTTCACCCATCTTTACATCCCACCTTCTTCACAATAATCAGCATACATCATGCTCTTCTTTCCACCATCCCGATTCTCCCCCCAAAAAGAACGAATCACACCAACCCACCGTCACCGGGTCGTCTCCGTTCTTTCCGGGTCCGCCGGTGCGCGCCTGTTCGGTCGCCTCCATGAGCTGGAGCGGCGCCTGGCGCAGCGCCGCCAAGCTCTTCGCCGCCGTGGCCAAGAGCTCGGGCGGCACGGCGGACACGCCGGTGCCCAGGCGCTTCGCCACGCCTGGAGGAGGTGGCTGGGGGTCAGGGGTGGCTGGTGGAAGGCTTTAGGCTGAGTGGCAGGTCAAAAGATCGGTTTGTGAAGAGATTGGAGATGCTGCTGAGATGCTTCAAAACGTTCCAAAGGCATTCATCACCTGTCCTTCTTGCCTTCAAGCTGAAACAATTTGAGCTTTGATGATTCAAAACGGTGACCATTGGGCGGTGACATGCGGAGAGCATTCTCGACTTCTCGACATTTGCCTTTGGCCAGTTCAGCAGATTGATCTCGTAGCTTCACCAATGCAGGAGCCAAGTGTGCACAAGCGTCAGGTGAAAGCTCCTGGCGACGAGACGTAGCTCAAACGTGGCGCCTGAAGAGGTCCGGCGACATGAGGTTAGTGACTGAGTTCTTTCTGGAAAAAACAACAACAATTCAATAACGCACAAAAACGAGATTCGCGCAGGAAAGAAACACAATCCACAGGAGGATAGGCTGTTTTCTTACGCCTGACTTGAAGGCTCCGGAGTGTCACCCGTGTCCTCCGGTCCGGTAAAACATGCTTCATGCTTCCACCGAAGGATAGCCCGGCTGGGGGTGCTTAGATGGGCTGGGGTGTTGCTAATGGGTTAGCAGTGTAAAGACAAATACCAACTAAAAACTATCCATGTCCCAACTCGTGTACGAGTTCAAAGGGTCCAAACTCTAGGTAATTAGGTACCTAGCGCTTCCAAGGGGTGGAGACCTGTAAGTAGTGTGGAGATATCCATTGGTGACTTGGTGACCCCTTGGAAGCAGCTGGTACATGTATGATCAGATCTATGCCCACTTGGGTGTCACCTCGTACCCACCGTTCAGGTCGACCAGTGACCAGTCAGCTCCCCACCGTTCAGCTCCACAGCACCGCGTGTCCTGGCTTTGCAATTCCAAGGTGGAGACCTCGGGAGAGGGTTTTCCCACAGGAGACGGTTTTCAGCAGCCATTTGGAAGGAATGAAGGTCCAACACCCTTTTTTATAGGGCAGAAAGACTCTTCATAACCGCATGGGATACAGCTTGGGGACGACATTGCAATGGACTTACAGCATGGGCCAAGGAGATGTTCACTCATTTGCACTTGAACGCCGCGAAGCCGCTATCGCCAGTGTTTCTTCGGAGACCCACTAGTTCGGGATGCTGAACTGCGCCTCGTTTTCATGTGAAAGATTGGACACGCAAAGGCCAAGCCAAAGGCTTGTTGAAGTAACAGATATACCAGCACAACATAGACCGCAGTTCCTGCGGGCCAAAGACTCTGGCCACAGTCTCTGTTAACACTGTTTACACTCCCTGGAACGGCCCCGTGGTTACGTGGACGTTCTGGCCCATTGGAAGACCATGTTCCACTACAAACAGGTGGTGCCATCCACTTCCATGTTAGTTCTAGGGAGAGTATTTGTTTCCTAAGAAAGAGAACACCCAACAATCAGCTGTTCGGGGGGAACTATATGTGAAAGGAACTCGACCTTATTCCCCTTCCTCTAAGCAACATGGGAAACCGTGAGGTTGGCCCCGCGTAGGGTTTGTAGAGGAACACCGTCTTCCCATTTGATGTTCCTTTGTTTTTTCCACTTCCATGATTGGTTGGAGGGAGGGTGCATGCCACATCCATCCCCCAGTCCCATGGCCCAGTCCGCGAGGACGGGTGAGGAAGTCTGATGACGGAGACCAACGAAAGGCGCCGTTCGTGTCTGCAGATCTCGAAAGCGAAGTGGGCTGGCCCCTAGGTGCCATTGAAGCAGCTATCTTGCTCGCCCCCTCACCCTGTCCAGGAAGTCAGCATGACATCCCGGAATCAAGAGATGAACGAGGCCACAAAACGTACCAAACACCCTCCAAACCAAGGGGCCAAGGACTCCCGCAGTTGTCGACCAACTGGAGACGCCAGGCGTTCCGGCACGGAAGCCAAGCTGGCTAAGACCAAGGCAGCCTGCGATTGGTGGAGACCCTGATGGACAGTCACAACATGTCACAATTCACCCGTAGGACTGCAGAAGCAATATCATCGCCTCTGCCAGTGCAATTCTTCTAACTGGAAAAGTTCTATCAACACTTGCAAATGCTTCAAAACCAGGAAAAAAACAAGTCCTTCATCTCACAATCTTCAAGAATATATATCCTGACCTGGAGGCAGAATTGAACTCTCTAGCCGTACTTCTTCCTCCTTTCCAAAGCATTCCAAGCCATGCTTTTCTTTCCAACCAGCCGCCCCGAGCTCATCCAAGCTCCGCGCAGAATTGCGCCGGAAACATCTGGCCTGTGCCACTTCGAAGGTTGAAAGCTTCTTCTGGCTGCACGCCAGCAGCGCTTCGTGGGCCGGCCCCTGAACTCGTTGGCTGGCGCGATGGATCGATCAACGATCATGACGAGAGATGCTCCCGTGTAGGACGAAATATATGGCCTATCATATCCCAGACACGACTAATGGGACTGGCATCTTTGCCGCCTACATTGACCCCTGAAATCAACCACCCCAACTGATCGGCGGCACTGGAGTGTCTGGGTATTGCATAATTACATTTGATGCTTTGGGGTGATGAATGTAGGCCTAGATGTGTACCACCATGGAGTGTCTGGGACTAGTGGTTCAAGAGGTTGAATGATACCGGTTCCATGAAGTGGCAGTGCTTTAAGACAAACACTGCAACAACATTCTGCTGCTTGGCTTTGTTGGAAAAGAAGGTGTGGGAAGAATTACTGGTAAAAGGAGATTTGGGGGTTCAAACCCTTCAAAGTTGACGCATGTGCTCACCCAAAGACGTTCGTAGGGGAAGTCCGTTAAACCACTTCCTGTTCTGGCCCCTTCCCTGGTGGATCTTGGCTATAGGCCGTTCGGCGACACGATTGTGTTGCCATGTTTTACTCGTTTTTCCATGCACTAATCCCCCTAAGACCGCACTCCGAACCGTCGATTTGGTTGCAGTTGCACCATGTTCCACCCATCTACTTCAGCCCCACACGGGGCTTGAGGGGTTGGAACATTCAATACCAACAGAGGCCTTTGCTCATGGTTGGGAGTTTTGTTCACTATACCCAATTCAGTTTGCTTTTCAAGCAGGTCAAACTCCTTGCGCCAATGCCAATCTAGCAACTGTTTCTGCCAATCATCTTGACAAACTCCAAGGACAGGGTCAAACACATCGCCTGCCTGTTGACGAAACAATGTCTTCCAGACGCCCAATCACCTAATAAACACAGCACACTGGACGACAACTACACTTTCTTTACCAACCCCCTTGAAACTTGCTATATTACATTCTAAAGATCATTTTCCAGGACCTTCAGTACGTGACCGAACGACTGAGATCCCAGTGGCGGGTCGGTCACTTAGTCCCTGAAGAGGTTACTTACAGACTCCAAAGAGGTCACGAACGGCTCAGGTCACACCACCTGAACTCACCGTCCCGTCCCGTTCCCCGTCTTCGCCGGCGAAACCACGGCGCACCGTGGCTTGCGCCGCCCCAAGGCTCAGCGAGGCCAAGCGCCCCAGTGCGCAGCTGCCGGCCGCGAGGATCCAGACCTGCCACGGATGGGGATCCAAACGGGAACTAGGATGAGGTCACTTATAAGGTCTGTACAAGGTCACAAACAGAGACTCCCAAGAGGGTCACGAACGGCTCAGGTCCTGGTGAACGGGGCTCCTGGCCGTACGACGAACGGAACAAGGTTCGCTACGAACGGAACAAGATCCGCTGGGGGAGGATCCCGGAGGATCTCGGAGGCGACCGGATTGGGTGTATCTTCAGACCTGTTCAGGTCCTTAGCCACACCTCCAACTCTTCGGCATTCTCCTTGAGAGATTCCACCATGCCAGCGAGGCGTCGGTCCTTTAAGATGACTGCCTGTCAGTGAGATCGAGGTAGTCACAAGAATGTGGGCTGGTCAAGGGATCTTTTAGAAGAATCCCAACATTATATGGTATATACATACATGAGTTTAAGATGTTTCAACATCATGATTGAACAAATGATTGGCTTTTTTGATGCATGTTGGGGGTTGTTTCGAGGTTTCAGCTGGGCTTTGTGGCTCCCATTGATGGTGATGCAAGCTTCAGCTTGCGGGGAACCTTGCTTCAGAAGAAGGACCTGAGGAACACCAACTTGGAACCAATGTCGAACACTTGGAATCGTCTTCAAGCACACAAGGACGCTATTAGTAGTTCCTGGCCTTACTACTAGGAGCAAGGACGCTACGAACGGGGCTCCTGGCATCGCTACTAGTAGCATTCTTACTACGCTAAATACATTCTCACAACCAAAAACCACGCCCATCTTGAACAGCTTTGCATGAGAAAGAACCTTGCTTCCTTTTTTTTTCGAGGGGTTGAGACACACCCATCTGCTGGCCAGTCAACTTCGGTGGCGGCAATTCGAAAACAAAAAATATATTTATACTCTCACAGTCAAACCATGGGGCATCATGGCTCATCATGGTCTGATATACCTTCAGCACCAAAACCTGTTATGTTTAAGGGGTGAACGCAACATCATCTGGCTTTCACACACATAGTGAAAATCAGCGGGTTTTGTCAAGAAACATCGGGTTTCCAAAAGCAATTTCGTTTGACATGCTCAAAGGCTTTGTTGATTAATAAAAGGAATGCATAGAATGGGCTTCCACTTGTGCCCAGGTCCAATTTCATTCCTCCACCCAGCTCGCATACTGCACAAAGAGAATCAAGAACAACAAATTCATAGAACGTTTCTGCTCTGACTATACAGGGTGGTGGAGAATATCGCTAAGGATCTTGACACCTGAGACATACTATCATAAAAATAACGGAGGGAATTCCAACCCAGGCCATAACCGTACTAACCCGTACTTCTTAACAAATACCTCTGGCATTTGAACACACAGTATGTTTTCGCCCAACCCGTGCCAAACCCGTACAAATATGTATTGTTCTTAATGTGTTTTGAACCTTCTCCCCTGGAACATGCTTTGAAGAATTGTCTTAACCGTTTTTGCATGTTTGTTGGTTTAAAAACACCTGAAAACACAAACACGTTTGTTGATTAAAAAAATTCTGGAGGCCTTCCGATGAGTTCAAGCGAACGAGAAATTCAGTAGCTCGCAGCCGAACAAATGCATGATTTACTGTGAGCAGTTCCTGGCGGAACAGGAGGCATCTCTCCACTGGCCGATGCTTCGGTCGTGCCGCCCACTACCGGTCCACACGTCCCGGTCCACCCGGTGCGGTGCCTTGCGCGGGCCGTCGGCTTGCCGGGCTAAGAGCTGAAGGCTCAGGGCCTGGGAAGACGCCCGGCAGACGCCCCGCTGCTGGGAGGGAGGACACCCGAGTTTCATCCAATGGGAGACCCCCCAAGACCCGATGGTCTCCAGACCCGATATGTCTGGTTTTTCGACTCCAACCTGAGATCAACAGGCCCAGGACCAGAATACAAAACAAATGATGAACCGATGTTTGCACTGATTTGGGGTGAATCTTCGGTCTGTATGAACCTCAAGCCATAATAACCAACCCCACCAATTCACACAACAACAAAAGAAAATAACTGATTTGAGGTGAATCTTAGGTCCGTATATCACCTCAACCCATGCGACAAAAAGAACAAAATAGAGAAGAACAAACATTCAACAAAAACAGGAACAGAAAAGCCATAGAACTAGAAATAGAAAGACATGCCTTCAAAGCTCAGGTGCAATCTGACCCAGTCGCAAGGATCGCTGCTCCTGGTCCACCTAGCGCTGCTCACTCAACAGTCTCGGTTGATCGACCACTTGTACGTGACTTGTGCCAGGTCCTCCGAAAACGGATCTAGATGATCTATGCCAATCTATGATCTCTCCATCTTTGTTTTTTAGTATATATAGGTTCCCAAGTAGATCGTGGCACGCATTCCAACGCATTCTTAGATCGTGCGAATCGATGTTTCTATCTCAAAACACAGGGGACGACCACCATGTGTCGATAATCCTATGGACCATCCACACCTGGCACCATCCACTGGACCAAACTCTCGAGGACCGGATCCAACATCTTCTGCGAAAAGCGCTGGCTGCGCAGCGCGGCGCATAGCAGCGCTGCGAGCTAAGCGCTAAGTGGTTCCTATGACTCTAAGAGATGATGTGTCAAATAGAACGGCAAGTTACACATATCATATGATATACACATGTGGTACATAATGGATATATAGTTGTTTACTCTTGTTGATGGTTTTTGCCTCTTCATCCTCAGCAGACCACCCACTCCAACCCCTCTGTGCCAACCAACACGCGAGGCCATCCGTATACGCGCTAGTCCGCCATCCGCCTCCGTGTGCAGGGCCTCGACGGCCTTGGTGCCCAAGGTTAAGACCTGGCAAAGGAAGAGATGGGGTCCATCAACTTCTTCACACACACTGGCAAAACCGACCTGCAGTGGGGACATGCTAAAATGGTTACATGTGAGATCACGTGAGACATGGTAAAATCAGATCACTGTACACACCTCAAGCAGCCCATTGAACCCGTTAACCACCGAGCTGGAGCCGAGCTCCCGTCGCACCTCGTCATTGTCCAAGGTGTTAGGCCCTTATAGAGGTGTGGAACTAACATGGAAGTGGAGAATGGCCCCTTGGAAGACCATGAATTCCACTACAAACAGGTGGTTTTCCACTTCCATGTTCGTTCCAGGGAGAGTACTGGTTGCCTGTCTGTGTTGAACAAAGGAGAAAGGAGGCCATCGCACTATCTATGCCTGAAAAAAAGTGATGCGCTGCCATCTGGATGTTGTCATTAACCATGAAAATCCATACAACAACATAAAGGCGGAATTCTGAAGAAACCCTGCTTGGTGAAAATCAAGGAAAGCCAACAAACAAACTGAAGGATTTTCAATGATGTTCAAATGCTTTTGGTTCCACAAGAAGTGACCAATTGGGTTTGTATTTGAGGGAAACCCTCCACTGGGTTGGGGTCTATGTTCCTTCTTCCAGAGGCTCATTCGACCGGGGTCTTCCTATTCTAATGCACACTCGATTCTCTTCCCACCTATAACCCTGTTTGATCCGGCCTCCCCGGGGCTCTTTGCAGAGAGCAAGCGCTCGGCGAGGGCAATCGCAGAGTCTGGAAGACCTCTGAAAACAGATGGCTGGCTCCCTTCCCCGACCTTCAATGACCTGACAGATTTCATGCTTTAGACACAACAATCAAAAACACATGCTACAATCTATTTCAGTGAGGCAAGTTAATGGCATGTTTTTCCTCAAACTTAGGTAACCGCGTTCCCTGCACCATCGAGAACACCAAGCTGAACGCATGCGGCATGAAGAAGTCACAAGCAGCGACTAGACTCTTCAGAACACTAGACTCTTGGACTAGATGTTCATCATGTTGACAACGAGACTCTTGGAGAACTCAGATCATGTTGGTCATGTTGAGGGAGAACACATGTCGATCAACATGAACTTCATCGTCCACCTGGCGCATGGATGCCCAGCCGAGAGCGGCTCGTTGAGCTATCCATCTCTTGGAGTGGTTCACCTGGCATCAAACATGTTGAGACCTGTACCCTAGAAGTCCAAAGACTATATTTTGACTGGCTGAAGTAAAGGAAGTTCCCTTTCAGGTCCCCTGAAGACCATTCTTTTTATAGTCTTTGACTCCCAGGGTGTACATGCTAGGTTTATACTTTGAAGAAATGGCCACAAGTACTTCACTGTCTTTGGGGGGCATGCATGGGCAAGATCATGTAACGTGTATGTGTTATCCAAAAGCTCCAACGTTGGACATGGTTGGACGAGTGCCACCAATCTGTTGTCTGTGTGGTCCATTCCGTCTCAATTTATGATTTTCATGTTCACAGCAAAACACTCCATTTGATACACCTGCCTAGGTTTGCTCACCCCATTAACAGAACTGTTAAAATTCATGTTGATAAAACTCGGGCTTTCATTGCGGGAACCTCAGACCTTCCATCCGCACCCTGCACTTGCACTTTCGTTGGCCTGCCCAACGATCCTAAGAGCCCTGCTGAAGCCACCATGCCAAACCGATTGCTGCCCTTCGCAGCAGGGTGTTTGGACATGAAGCTCAGCTGTGCCTTCAGCTGCGGCAGGAAGCTCCGGCTGCTCACCCTCCTGTGAAAAGTGTTCGAAGAGTTCTCCAGTTGAAGAGTTCGTCCTCCTTCTTTGCACTTCGTTTGAAGATCCAATCTCTCCCAGAGTTGGAAGAGCAAGATGAAGAGTTCGCATCTCGCAAACTCCCAATCAGCTGGTGAACTGGCTAGGAGAACTGATGAATAAATCTATGTACCTCAGTCAGGTCTGGATCTATCAGCCGATCTATTAGCTCCTCAAACCGAGATCGGAGTCAGAGCTCCCCAAACACCTGACGATCCATCAACATGCGTCTCAGGACCGCTCAGACTGACCCCCAGGTTTACCAAACTCATGGTTTAAGCTTGTTGAACAACGTCTGGTAGAGGGCTTTAAACAACTGGGGCAGAAACGGTTCACCAAACTGTCCACCTGCTCTTGTGAAACGTGTGGTGTCTCCATGGTGTCCCCGAAAAGAATCAGGCGACTTGCCGGTGATCCACCTATATCCATGTCCTGGGCTAGACTAGACCTCCAGCCCACGTGGAAATAACGTCCCGTATCCGCTGGACACGTCCGGCCCAGCTGGCCTTGGTGGGAATGGATCCATCCTCCAAAGGCTTGAGCTTCTTGATCTCTTGCTTTCGCCTTGCTTGCGCCTGGGCGGAAGCTCCGCTGCCGGTTTTTCCCGGCATTGGTCCGGCCTCACCTGCTTTTTGTTTGAAGATCAGGTGGCGCCCAACGGCGGTGAAGGGTGACCGTGGAGATTCTCCGGGGCGTGATGGACGAGTTGACAGCTGAAGCGGTCGGAACACACCCCGTGAAGAAGGAAACAAACACAGGTTGCCAAGTTAGACGGTCAACGCTGCATGTCTTTGTCTTCGGTGACTGTTCGTGCGATCAACTCAAATAATCTACTATTTCTCAGCTGCGTATAAACAAGAAGGACAAGGAACTCCTCTTAGATACGCCCGATGGAGCGCGGGTCAATGGCCTTGGCATGCACAGGTCAAGAACAAAAATGAAGGAGTGAAGAAATGCACATCCCTAGAATCATCACCCGAACATGTTGGTCATGTACATGCCAAGAATGGGTTTTGGGGCAGAACAATCGAGAACACTTACCTTGAGATGTTTGTTGCACACAGGCCATTTAAAAGGAGAAGCTTCTCCTAACGTATCGCAAACCATCTCTAGTGAGGGAGATCTTATTCTCCTATTTGACGGCCACATGGGAATTTCCCCACCCCACCACCTGCGAAGAAACTATAGTATAATACGTACACGTACGTATTACCAGGACCTTCAAAGTGACCTCTTTGGAGTCTGTAAGTGACCTCTTCAGGGACTAAGTGACTTTATTCTGGGATCTCAAGTTCGGTCACGTACTGAAGGTCCTGGTAAACTGTGGGGCTCCACCCACTGGAAAACCATCGTTCGTCCACTGGTTTGCTTGATGGTTTGCTTGATGGTCGCGATTAGGACTTCTTCCAGTCAGTGTGGCACATCCCCGCTGGATATGGTATCGCGTGGACATGGTTTCCAAACGTTCCTAGTCACACCATGTCACATTTCTATACTAATTCTGAAGACGTCTCCCTCTTTCTTCAAAAATCCCAAACGGACGTTATTATGTAACTCATGAGGAGTGAACAAATAGAGAACCGCCTGGCGGAACCTCCCGAGGTTTCTTCGTTGGCGGAACCTTCGCCGAAAAGAAACACATCGCCTCGCGTGCTGCTTGGACATGCTTCTGCTGCACCTCTCGCACCTGAAAAGAACCGGATCTCGAGGGGCCCGAACACATCGAATGCCATGAACAGGTCCAAAAGAACATCTTCTGGACGTATGTGCAGTAGATAAATCTATGATCTATGACCCCAAACACTTCTCTTAACCTGAAGTGTACCAATGCTTTGTCCACTGAGTCCACTGCTACCTATGTTTCTTCCAGTGTCTACATACAGGTGCTGAAAAGAGCACCACACCAATAATGTTGTGTTTCACCAAGCGCCGAAAAGCATTGAGATGGGCGAACCTTGTCAGCCAAATGCTGGCCCACAGGCTGCTAGTTCCAACACAGCTCCCCATGAACCATCATGACAGTTACCAATATGTGTGGCGCTGTAAGAAGCCATCAGAAATATATAGATACATTTATATCCGCCGACGCCTGCGACAGGGGGAGCGGAAGATGCTGACAGCAGTAGGCCAATGGATGCACATGGTGTCAAGATCAGAGTCTGGGAAAATGTTGAACATTTTCCACATTCAATCTACTATACTTAGTACTTCTACCATATTCAATGTTGGGAACCAGGATGAGTCATCTTCATCTCCAAAATTTGTCCATGATTTTCCCTGTATGTTTCAGGCCCGTCCTCCTGCCAAAAGCTTTCCTCATTCTTCCGGCCACGTGGTCCCTGGTGCAGGGAGTTGAGGGCTCCGGCTTGTTTCGACGTGTTTTTTTCTGACAATGATAATTAGAATTGCGTCCGATTGGAGCACCAGTGTTGCGCCTTCTTGGCCACGCTGAGACAGCGCGTGCGAGAGTGCGCGAGAGCACGCGCCCGTGCGGCTGCCAGGAATTGCAAGGAGACATGGCGCATGACATGCCGTTCGGTTCGTGATGTTTAAGGAAACATATAGACCTAGAATGGGTGGAACATAGTGTAGTCGGGAATCCTATGAATGTCATGTAAACCACCTGAAACGACTTCCAGGAGCTATCGGCGCAGATGTGTGTTGTGCGTTCTTCGTGCTTCTGGCGATCAACGGCCGATCTCTGGGGGTCCGATTCACTTCCGAGGACCTTCGACCTTTGGTTTGAGGCATGGAGGTGCGCTGGAGACTCGATGGAGGGGTCATGGGGTCGCAAAACCACCCCTCCGGTCCTGGCATACATGCCCTCCAAGCACCTTCTGAGGTGTTTGGGAAGGGTTTAGAGATGTTTAGAGGGGTCCAAGTACCTTCTGAGGAGGTCCTTGGAGCCCTAGGGATTGTAAGCTTGGCTTCGCGGCTTCGCACATCAAGTACAACACCTGTTGAACGAAAGGGTGGTCGGATGGACGTTCCGACTTGGCAGCGAGGTTCTGTCTGTGGCAACGACCTCAAACGGTACTTGGAGATGCCAACATGGGACATGGGCCCAGAGATCCTTGCATCCATATTGAGAGGGGCACAATCGTTCATAGGTCCAGCAGCCCATCAAAAAGGCTTTTTGGAAGCCAGATCCAGAGGTCCAGGTCGAAGATTGGCGGTCGCTGCCCGGCAACCAGGCAACCACTTCTTCCTACTTGCAAATGTCTGGCACAATCTGAGGGTCAATTGGTCAATTAAAGAGTTTTGTTCAGATATTGTCTACTCTCAATCCACTTCTGTGACATGCAGGTGCCTCCCAGTGAGGGAGTCTGACTTTCCGTGTTCCACGCTACACTCAGAGCTGAAGAGCAGGTTGGACGCAGCGGTTGGAGTATATGTTGTGCAATTGCGGTTGTGCCCAGATCTTGATGATGACCCAAAAGCAATCATGATGTTAAATGTCATCTTCACCAAGTCCCTGTAAACTGTTCAACTTTTCTGAAAAACTTGCTCGGCTCTGAGGTGAGTCATCAGTTGTTGGGGTGAGTTTGGAATTTCATTCATTCAAGGATTCTCAGCCTTGGGCCTACAATACGTTGACCGGGTGCTGTTCTAGGGACTCCATACACCAGGGTGTGTGTATTTTAAGAGGTAGACCCTGATCGCCCTGGCTGGGTAGACTGGTCCATTTCCCTTCTTTCACGAGGTCTCCCTATTTCAATACACACCACCTGGTGTTCATACCCCTGCCCAATCAAATCTCACCTATTGTATTGCATTGTGTAACTGGAACGCTCACAAAAGAGACCCTGAGCTGGTAGCCAGTGGTTCCTGCAGAAAAAGAAATAAGTTGCCAAGATGAATGGATTCCTGAGATCCACTGGGAGTGGTCGTTGTTCATGTGTCCTTCGGAATGTTCTTGGCACTTTCTATTACTATGTCTTTCATGTTCACCCGAGTCGCCCAAGAACCTGCAACTTGCGAACTTGGGCGGCCTTGACCCAAAGCTTCAGGTGTTTGTCACGTGCCCTGTTGGAGCACCTGTTTAGGGTCCTGAAAACCACGGACCACCTGCTAGAAGTTCCGAGAGCTCTTGATTCCAATGGCTGTGCTGAATTGGCTTGCAAAGAATGTCTGTAATTAATGGTCGTTTTGTGGTGTGCAACCTGTTCCCCGCAAAAAGAGAACCTTTTGCCAAGACGGTTTCAGTACTGGTTAAACACCTGGTTACCACTGCTTTACCGCTCATATACAAGAAACCTGTTGCTCTTGCTCCTAGAACCATGGCTTACACTGATGGGGCCTCCCCTTTTCTTTCACCACTCCATCGGCATGGGCGCGGAGTTTGCAGGGATGCTTTTCCTACATCGCCATGTGCTTCCGGAGCTAAGCTGGTCTTTCTGGAGCAGGTCCCAGATGCGTTTCGACGATCGTTCAGGCTCCGTATCGCAGCCATCCGCAGTGCCACAGAGTAGACTGGAAGACCTCAAGAATTTAAACACGCTCTTCCCACTTCCTGCAATTGTGCTAGTCAACTGCTGGTCCTTTGCTGTGTTGTTGAAAAGAAACACTTGAAAAGCAAGTGGTTTTGAGGTTCAGGAGGCAACACCTTTGCCCTGTCTTGATACACATATCCCAGCATCTGCACCACTAGTCATTGATGCCGATAGATATTAGATATTATACATAAGATTGTAAGATACATGTACCCACTCACCTATACTAGATAGGAATCGAGAGCAATTGAATCAAGCTGTGAAGTTGGCAGAACTAGTAGCTGAAAACGTTCACACCGTCAGCCTTGGAGTTGCGCCTGAACAGACTGTGAGCTTCAAACTGGTCTACTCAGCACGGGGATTGAGGAACATCAACTTTAGCCTTTCTCAAACTGTTCGCTTCAGGCTATCCACTGACTGGGTATTGAGTGATGACACCTGAGCTGAGCGACCGTCAAATCACTTCGGCTCACTTCCCTCCATTTTCTACGATGTGGCATCTTTGACCACCAAAATTGCTCACCTGGCACGTGGGGACAACAACACCTCCTGCTTTCTTGCTTAGTGTTGCAGGACACACAGCACATGCTGCTATGTAATTTATATAAGTACATGCAGTGTCTATAGTCTACCGTTATGCCAAATTTCACACGGATATTTCTTTATGTAAGTCAGAGCCAGCTTGAGGCTGTCTAGGACTCTTAGCTCCAAGGGAGCTGCTGGTTTACAGCTGGATGCTCCAAATCGGTGTTATTCTGTGTCTCCTCTAGTCCCGTTGGAAAGCTGATCCGCATCGCCTGGATGGTCACTCGGAGCGCTGAGCCCAGACCAGGTACCAATTGCCCATGCCACGCACCTGCACCTGCGATAGCGAAATCCCAAAGCCCACAGAGGCTACTCAAGAGATGCACTGCCAAAGAGGGAAGTTGTGCGTGAAGAAGGGAGTCAAGCAAGAACAGGAAGCTGCCAAGCTCTATGGAGCGCTCTCGCGCTCTCTCTCTCTCTCTCAGAATCATAGCAGCAGGGATTCCAAGTTCCCCACACACGGCTGAGCGCCCCACGCGGTTCACCTTCAAGTGCTGGCAGCTTTCTAAGAGTGCGTAGACGTCATTATCGTCCTCTCTCGACAAGGAGCTCTCGAACGGGGCCCGCGATCGGGCGCGCGATCAGTTCTCTCGCTTGGCAACTGTTCAACTGCCCTGCCTGGCCTGGCCTACGATTCTCCTTCTCTCAATGCTCTTGGCATGCGTAGTTCCCCTGGTAGTTCCAACGCACTTTCAGTCAAGGGGAGAACCAACTCCAACGCACAGTTTCCAATGACACGCTGCAGGTACAAGTAGGGTTAATTTGGAGATGCCCCTGTGAGCTTCCCTTGCAAACCAGACAGCAAACGTCAAGGTCACGCAAGTTGGATAAGCATTCATTTTGTGGCTGGAATTTCTGAAGATGTCCAGTACATCATATCTCTACAATCTAGATTCTCGCTCCGCATCGAACAATATTCTCGATGGGCACTTTGTTTCAGGAATAGTGGACATCCACTGGAAATATGCTTATACACTAATATTTATGTATAAAAAATAATACAAACATAGTACAGTATGATACCAGTACAGTATGTGTATGAAAAGGTCACTGTCAAGATCCTGGGAATGCTCAAGGGACCTGAGACCTCGATTCTCCAACCTCGCCAGTCTCAGTCTCAGTCCCGATAGCCATACTCCCACTCGTGTGTCGGATTGGGCACCAAGCCCAGGTGCCTGCCGTGTTGTGCCGATGTGTTTGGAGGGACAAAAGAAGGTTGCTGCTTGAAATAGGCGACCAGCTCAAGCTACACTTTGACATACTTTGACAGCCAAATAATGGTCAAAGAACCATTCATATAATTCATGAACATGATCTAAAACCACTGGATGATGTACATCCATGTATACATCCAATGAACAAAGATTAAGACAGAAATACATCCTTAGCCTCGAAGTAGGAGTCCCAATGAAGATAAGATTTCGAGACCCCATGGTTGCCATGGTATACGGCTTATAATGGCTTATAATTTATAAGTGATCAAATATGGGGCCAAGAAGAATTGGCAAACAGCACATGCCCCCAAGCTGTTTCGCTCGAACATCTCTTCTATTTCACCAATCAATCTGGGCCACCCAGCCTCAAACGCAGGTCTCGCACATTCTCGCACGAATCTGACTGATGGATCAATCCGCTACGTAGGGCTCCTGGCCCATATCCTCAGGTTCGCCACCTCAACTCCTTGTGGGGGTGCCACCCCAGCCCATCTCTGAGCCCACGCAGCGGTTCGGGCGCTTCGGAGCGGTCAAAGATTCAGGTTTGGGGATTGAACCAGTGGAAAAAAACAGACTAAACAAGCAAAACCAACCACTTCTTGTTACTAGTAGCGTCCTGGCCTCCCCCTAGGCCATCGTGATGGCCTACACCCTAGTAGTGATGGCCTACACCCTAGTAGTGATGGCCTTCCACCCAAGTAGCGATGGGCTCCACCCTAGTAGTCTTATGGTTTCAGAACCAGCAAAACCAGCCACGGGACTTCCGCCTTCCCCCCGCTGGCCTCTGTGCCCATCGAGTGGGTGCGAACCGGGCGACGCCCGGCTCCACCAAGAGAACCTTCGCTCCGCGCGAGCGGCGGAGCCATCGGACCGGGACCCATCGGACCGGGGCGGAGACCGGAACCCAAAAGCCTGCGTTTTTGGGACAAAGAACATCAATATCGGATCCAAAGAGATCCCAAGGTGCTGAATAAGGAATAACGTCACTTGGGTGTTGTGGATCTGTTCATTCGCGCAATGAAGTGTGTTTGTTGGTTGGTGAAACAATGTGAAACACTTTATTTACATTCACAGTCTGGTCCGGAGTGGTCACCGGCATACTCTGCCAGCGATTCTTCCGTCCGGGCACGTCACGATTCGTCCTGCCTTGCCATGAGGTCGACAGACTCGCAACATCTCAGCCAAAGCCTGCCACTGAAGGTGCTGAAGTTAGTGGATTTCTCAAGGCAATTTCCGGTGATTCCGTGCAGTTCTCATGGCAAGAGGTCTTGGCCGATCCCCCTCAAGTAAGTGGCAACAACACATGTGAGGTTTGCCAACATGAGCCTGGATTTGAGAAAATATGAATCAAGTTGATTCAATTTGCAATAGCTTGCATATGGTTGCATAGGCTCCCACGTGTTGTAATGCCTGTTCCTTTAGATCGTGCTTGTTTCACACCTGTAGCTCCCTCCTGTAGCTCCATGTGCCCATGTGAGACCTCTAGCAGTTGAGTTCACATCCACCCCGTCCGCAGTCCGCTGGACTTGCAATCCGGTCGGACTAAGACTCATATCCTTCGTCCACGGTGCGGCACCCCACGTGACTCACGTCACCTGACCGGGATCTTCCATAGCACAGAGGCACATGGAGCCTGCATCGGATGACACATGAGGAGTCAATGGTGGTTTCTAGACCATATTGACTAAACATCTGACAAACAACTAGATGGCATGGCTGGACATGGCAAGAATGTAAGCATATGTAAACTTTACAAGATCTCCTAAGTCACGCACTGAGAAGCTGGAATTTGTTTAAGATGTTTGCTGGCCAAACCCAACTTCTTCAATCAGTTTTCAGCACCGAACACTCATATATAAGCACATCACCAAGTTCTACTCGAAACTCTCCAAATCCCGCCGATCACGAGGTGATTTTGCCCCCGCCGATCACGGTGTCGAAGGACTTCTCCGGAAAGGGCAGTGCATGCCCATCGCCCAAGATCTCGGAACAAGGACACACGTTGGACAGCTGAAGTGAAAGGTTGTACCATGTTGTACCCAAAAACGACCTGTCTGGGAATTGGATTGCTATGTCCTACGTCAACCACATGTTCACCACTTCCCCCCCAGCCTTTTTCGCTCCGATGCCAGTCCCGTCGTCTTGGAGGTTTCAAAGCTGAATCCAAAACCGCCAACAACGAAGGAAACCGAAGGACTGGCAGGGGACCCGGCAGAGAACCTATAACCAATCGATCGAAGTTCGCCGATCGGGGTAGCGACCCAGCTGCCTCTCTGAAGGGTCTGGAGATGTTGTGTCAACCCATGTCTTCAATGTTTGGGATCGCTTGCAGAGAGTGCCGGGCCATGCGTTGTTGTTGTTGCTGTTGCTGTTGCTGTTGTTGTTGTTGCTGTTGCTGTAACTGTAGCTGTAGCTGTAGCTGTTGCTGTTGTTGTAGCTGTAGCTGTTGCTGTTGGTGTAGCTGTTGTAGCTGTAACCTGGAACCCAAGTGACCCCTGATTTTTTAGAAGCAAGCCTCCCCCAAGTGACCCCCCCTCAGCCCAAACACAGAGCTTGTGCTGGTGCCGCTGAGAGTCCACCTTCGCCTCAAAGGGCAAATCTCCCAGCTTCTTCCTGGCCTCCGCTAACATGGCCTCCGCCACGCGCGAAGGACCAGGACTTCGAAAGGACCGGATTAAACCATCTGTAAATTGTAATATGGTAGAATAACAGCAACATTAATCATGTAATGAAATAGAATACATGCATGGTTATATAGTTTATTATGTTTACATATTTATTTGTTTTTTGTAAATCAATAAACAATTAACGGATGCCGTACACCAACGGCCGTAGAACCGGGCTTGGGCTTCATCCAAAACGGGTCGACGGCGTCGCGCCTCATTCAAGTCCACACCCATGAAGCTGCGCACCTGTTGGGATCGAAAAGGTCTTTGGTGGAGGCAAGAAGACCTGCACTAAGTTCATCGAAGCTGCGCAGCCTTTTTGGAGGACCAAGATAGGAGGAACACCGTTTTGGCGGTTCCAATGTCCAAACAACGAGTTGTTTGCCTACAGCGGTTGAAGCGTTCTGGGTAATCAAGAGTGAATCTTTCTGTTTGAGGGCAAACAGGTCGAAATGATCTATGTTCACCGTGCTTCGCAGGAGGTGCCAGGATATGCCAGGTCTTCCGCTAGTATCGACTAGTGACAAGGATTGAAACAAATGACTCCTTGGGATGATCTCACACACCAGCTTCTTCAAAGTGACCTTTTGAAGGTTCCTAATTGACCCTTAGGAGGCTTAAGTGACCTCAAACCAGGTTATCAAAAGGTCACTTTGAAGAGCCAGGCAAATGCAACAATGCTCCGCTACTGCCTGTAAACTGCCTTGTGGTGATCTACTCGCGTACTGGAGCCCGATGCTCACCTCGCTGGCCCGCAAGAAGTTGAAGATGCGGCCAGTACCTACCTGAGATCTCCATTGGACAGTGCAGAATCCCACATTGGACATGACATCTTGCACGTGCTGAACTGAACAGTGCAAACGTCGTCAAACAACTGCTCTAGAGCACTTTCAGATCCACTCCTGCATAGAAAGGGATGAACAGGGACAATACCGCCCTGTCAGAATCGAAGAATGACAACAAATCAGCAGCTTGAAATGTCAGCCCAATGGCTAGCACTCATGCCAAATATCGGAAGAGCTTACGTAAGATGGCCTTTCAGCCTCCCTCCTTTTGCAGATGGAGCAAATGGATATGACCTCGCACTCCCCAACCCCATCAATACGGCTCGATCACTGCAGCCCCGAGTTTCCACGCTGCCACTTCCAAAATATCGCCACTGGCATCTGGCGTCGGAGCGAATCAATGGTACTATGCAGATGTGAATTCGGTATGGCATGATTTAGCAATCTGCTTCCGCACACCCGGTTTAGATCCAGGACACTGCTCAGGCAATACCAGTGGTCACCGCTCCATATCACACTGCTCTACTCTCCAGTTACACTGCGTCTCCGAAAAAGAAACGCCGGACAGCCGGATTTGCTGGAACCGGGAAGCCGCGAACAAATAACACACATATATACACATATACTCTCCAGGTTGGGCCCCAGGTATTGACCCAGGAACCAGGCAAGAATCATGGGAAAAGAAAACCCAGTCGCGCCTTGGAAGACGTGCTTGCGATAGTGGTCTGCGATGCCTTTTTCTAAGGTCTCCACGCTGGAGTCATAGGTGGGTGCCATCCAGGTGTAGGCCTGGCCGAGATGGCCATTGGTGGGAGTAGCTCAAAGGGAATTATACGATATAACATATGATTATATATAAGATCATATGTTTATAAGTATATTTGATCTACAAATGGACTAGTTCTATGTCATCTTTTTGTTGTAACCACCAACTGTTGCTTACAGTACGTTTCCCTGATGCAGGCCCCAACTAAGCACCGGCAAAACAAGTGATACACATGTGAGAGGACCCCTGGCTCCTCGGGTTTTCTCGCAAGTCCCGAAGCAGTTCTGTCACTTCGAACTTGAGGAATAACCCGATCGTCTTTTTTCTACCAAGAGATGCCGCCGAGCTCATCTGGGAGTGTTGTTATGACCTCTTTGCACCAACAAAGTAAACAAAAACCAATGACTGGGAGCTGCTTCAATATCTTCAATCAGGGAAGTCCCATCAAGAAATACATGACAAACAATGACAAGCAGTGAAGCTCCTCGAAGCTCCAATATACTGCTAAGGATCACACCCCAGCTTCTCACATGTACCAGTCTGAAACACAAATCTTGTTTATTTCCAGGACCCTGCCAACGGGCCTTTTGTGAAGGCTTCTAACTCAAAATAATTCAATCGTCTGAATTGGTGGCCTGTTACACCTAGTTGCAGGGTCTTTGATACGGTCGAAAGCCTCCCTCAAGTGAAACATCCTCTACCAGGCAGGGTCTGCTCAGCTCAGCAGGATGCTCTCACTGGGTCACCTGGAGACCTTGGTTGAGACCTTGGTCCTGCCAAGGTCAACCGACCCGACCCGACCGAGTGGGTCAACCTCGACCCACCCACCCGACCCGGTTCACAGGTTCACCGCCCGGCCTCCATGCGCTGAGCCTGCGTGGGGCGGCCATAGCGCTCCAGAAAGCTGCGTTGCTTGGCCTGGCGGAGTTCGACGCGGCGAAGAGCGAAGAGCGACCGATCGGTGGGTTCGATGCTGCGAGGCGTTTCAGTTCGTTTCGCGTCTGCACACAGGACACACGAAGACACGAGAAGTTCGGGAGAAGCGTTTGGCATAGAAAAACACTGGATCCTTGAATCTTAAGCATGTTTATGCATGTTTATTCAGCTAGAATGGAGAAGAAATAATACGTATAGAATCGTATAGAGGCTGCCTTCTCGCCGCCGATCTGGATCTCCTTACTAGCAAGCTTACCTTTGCAAGACAAGATCCGGTAGTAAGGGAGAAAAAACACCTGAAAACACTTGAAAACAGGAGTGCCTACATATGCCTACTATATGGAATTGCTAAGACGGTGCGGCTCCTCCATACACCATGCAAGCTGACAGGTCCCTGACAGGTCGCCATGTCGTTCCAAACCCGGAAACGACGCGACAGGTTGTCCTCCCAGAACACGGTCCCTGGACCGGCGCACAGGTTGTTGCAGCAGGGCCCGGGGTTTCATAGGAGGATAAGTTGTTGGCGTCCGTAGATGGCATCAGTTCGACCATTGTGGAGCAGGGGTGCAATTTTGTTGACTGGGGATCGAGGTAGATACGGTAGATGCCACAAACTCACCCTAAAGCTATAGGTCTGGAGGGCTCTTGTCTCATCAAGAAACCCTAGTCTCCATCCTTCATCTCCGGCATTTGAACGGTCTACTTTTTGTTGAACGCTTCGCCAATCGGGCCGTGACTGACTACGCCAGTCGCACTGTTTGTGGAACAGTTCCCTCATTTTCAGACCCATCCGCTCCAAGACAGCGAAGGCCAAAGAATCGGTGCACCAACGGCCATCGCCTCCTCCTCGGCGAAGAACCAATGGTAGGACTGCCTGGGTTGGTTTGCGGAAGCTGTTTCTGACGCCGACCATGCATCTATAGCTTCCAAGGTAACCTTTGGTCGTCCGGTTCTCAGTGACGAACATCGACAACGTCGGCGTCGGCGTGAGGGAGGAAATGACCAGCAGAAAGCAGCAGAAAGCTACAAGGGCAGCTTGATCTTGACAAGTTTGCCTGATGCAAAAGACCAAATCACCGTCTGCAGGGACCCCAGTTGATCTTGTGTGGGCCATGGTGGCCTTGACAGCCTTGACAGCCATGAAAATTGTAAATTGTCACAGGGAATCACATGTTCATGACAACTCAGTCTTCACCCCAATTTGGGTGCATCTTCTTTGGAAGGTTTGCCATTTGCTTTGCAGGTAGCAAAACAATTTGAACAAGCCAACTCGGAGTGTCTAGTGACTATAGTGTCACTCACCGTAACAAGTATATATGAGGATATACGGTACGGCGAAATCATAGTGCCCAAACCATATATGATTTCACCGGAATGGTCCCAAAGGGGAACACTTTCAGCCGTTGGCAATTCCATGCTCCTCACTCCATCCAGGATTTCTAGCCAGGTGAACCAACTGTTCCTCTCGCCTTTCGTCGACCTCCTCCAATCGACCCACCAACAACCCACCTAGTTCAGCCGATGTTCGACCCCTCCAAACACCACCGGGTGCTTTGGCGGGGCGCTTTCGACTCCCGGCCGCTTCCTCCCGGCCGCTTCATCCGGTCCATCCGGTCGGGTCTCCAAGCGCCATGGCCCACAAGGTGGTCGCTTGGACGACCTGGACGACCCAACAAAAACGACAATCAAATCGTTATGACGTATTATACACTGCATGCTGAATCTATATAGCGTATATAGGGCGGCATACTATAGGGCATCGCTATGTATACAGCAAAGGGCCTCGCAGCCCAGTAACTCGCATCGCAGCCCGGAAGTAGCTGATTTGATAAAACAGGAACAAGAAGGTCATGCAAATCGTTTGCGTCCCATCTGCAACAAGTCTCGCTTCCAAGGTGGCTAACTGGGGTTCCTTGGAGGTCCTGGGACCCATTGTACTAGTAGCGTCCGATCGCTCCGTTCATAGCGATGCCCTTTGTTCCGTTCGTAGCTTCTTGTTGCTAGTACGAAGGCCAGAACCTACCTTCGGTTCGCGTCCTTGGGTTTAACTAACTGATTCACTTGATCAACGGACCATGTCTGAGTCATTCTCGGCTCTGGACGCCCATGACCGCCAGACCTCCAGCAACATGGGACCTGAACCGCGCGAACCGCGCCGCTCGGTTCGTTGGAGTCTGGGAGCTATGTCAATGATGAACGTCCGATCTGAACGGGCTCGGTCAAACAGGCCCTGCATGGCCTATCAATGGCTCCTGCTTGTTCCTTTATTTGATGCTCAGCTTTTTGGGTTGAAGAAGTCCATGAAGAAAAGGCTCCGAAACACGTCTCTTGGAAGACGCAAGCTTTTTCAAGCTCTGTGGAGCTTACCTTCTATGGGAGTCCTGCATGGAGCGCCAGTCGCAAGAGGGGAGCACCATTTGACAAGAATTTGATAGGTTGTGTTGTTTTGCAAAGCAGGAGCAATAGTTACCTGCACTGCAGCTGACAATAACGTGTCTAGCATTGCACAGAACAAAGTATGAGCACCCTCCCTTTTTCATAGTCAGAACACCAATCCTCTGTTTGATGGACAGGGCAAACGCCCATTACCCTCAGCACAACATGCTTCAGCACCTTGAAAAGGAAGAACACCTGACGGGTCAAAATATGTTTTAAAATCTATGCTCCTTGGGAACACAAGATCAAACCCAGGGACCCTTTCTCGCAAAGACTCTCCCCAAAGGTTTGGATGAAAGGATACAATTAGCCAAGCAATTGCTAGACAAACGAATGCCCTCGGCCCTCGGACGTTCTTTAGAACCGCTCTTCAAGCAGTTAAGCCAAGGGTCCACTTACATCAAACTATGCATGATTAAAGCCATACAAACCTTGAACATAATTACCCTCCCTCAAACAATCAAGCATGCTCAATCATCCGAATGGTGGCATCCACGTAACCATGATCATTTCAGGGAGGGTATCTCGAAGATTCTCGAAGAACACTTGAGGTTGTGTTAAAAAAAACCTCTACCTTTCCCTATACCTGGGGGGCTTGTGTAAAACTCTCGTATGTTTTTTTGTTTTTTTAATACTCTCTCACTTGATCCTTTTTCAGCTCACCAGAGATCTCTGAAGACCAGCCTGAGTGCCACACAAGCGCACTTGCTTCAGGACATCCACGACGATTTGTCGAAGGACCATCACGATGGTCTGTCGCTCGTGAAAACTCCACGTAGTAAGTTTATGCACCTCAAGTGGTGGACTCTGAGTATCACAGGTGAAACACACACGCACAAAATATTGGTGTAAATGGATGTTTCATACCCCAGCTGGATGGTTGAATTATGTTCCAGCCACCCACATGGCTCCACACCGTCCGGACTGGGAGTTATCATCATCCGTCGGTGTCGGTTTAACCAACGAACGTTCAGTCCAAGTTGAAGCCCATCAACGGCAATGACTTCGAGAATGTGTCAAGAGTCCTGCCATGTGGGGAATGACTGAAACCTCCACAACACATATGGATATGAGCGACGCTGTTTATTTGTTATGTGGGCCTTGCACATTTCAATTTGGTGAGTGTATTATCGTTTTCCACGTTTTGAACCTTACTTATGTTAAAGGTTGTTTTCACAATGCAGCAGACTTTTTGGACATGGAAGCAGACGTGCGACGGTCAAAACTCCTTCTGTGTGGTAAGGTCATGGGTATCGCCTTCTCTGGTGGCATCGCTACACACAGCGCCAGCATTGTTTTTGACTTGTCGCCGTTGGGTGGGGGCAGTAGTAGCAGTAGCAGTAGCAGTAGGAGTAGTAGTGGTAGTAGGAGGAGTAGTAGTAGTAGTTGTTGTTGTTGTAGCAGTGGCAGTGGTGGTAGTAGTAGTAGTAGTAGCAGTAGCAGTAGCAGTAGTAGTAGTAGTAGTAGTAGTAGTAGTAGTAATAGTAGTAGTAGTAGTAGAAGTAGTAGTAGTAGTAGTAGTGGTAGTAGCAGTAGTAGTGGTACTAGTAGTACTAGTAGTAGCCGCCGTAGTGGTAGTGGCAGTAGGAGCAGTAGCAGTGGCAGTGGCAGTCGCAGTGGCAGCAGCAGCAGCAGGAGGAGGTAGCAGTAGTAGTCGTCGTTGTCGGGGTTGTGGTTGTGGTAGTGGTAGTGGTAGTAGTAGTAGTAGTAGTAGAAGTAGTAGTAGTAGTAGTAGTACTAGTAGTAGTAGACCAGCCATGTCTTGAGCTTGTTTCGAAGATATGTTTCAGAGTTTCGTAGCACAGGTTCGTCTGCATTTACGTTATCGTTTGGTTATCGTTTAGGATATCGTTTGACTACAGCTACATTTCGGACAAACCTGTCGCCAAAGTCCGAAGTCAAATACGGCTTTGGGAAAGGCTACACTAAGCAGAAACGAGGTTCCCTGATGGTCTTCACGGCTAAAAAGCTGTACTGCAGCTATGCAAACTAAGCTTTCCTATAATAAAACATGATGCTATCAATATGTTATCGTTTTTGATGAGTGTATTATCGTTTTCCAAGTAAAATGCAAATTCTGCAATCCCAATGTCGGGTCCTTTACTAAATACCTTTGCGTAAAAAAATCAGGTTGCTCATATACCTATGGTACCAAAACAAAAATGCCTCCGAACTGCCTTTCGAGGCCGTGCAAGATGTGGAGATGACACCAAACAAAACACACCAGTCCGGGGCTGGTCGGGCTGGTGGGGCTGCTGGGGCTGTTCACCATGACACCTCGCTGGTGGCGCTTGAGCCGACTGCGGCTGGAAGGTCGGACGACGAACACAAACGTCGCTGAACTGAGCGATGTTCAGACATGCAACCCATGTAGCCAGCCAAGATCCGCGTTTCGCAACCCATGTAGCTAATAAGACGAGCTCACATTAAACATCATTGATAGCTTAAGACTTATAGCATCATATACTGTGACGGTTCCTTCTTGGAGATTGCTCTCTTAATCAGCGGGAAAGGTTTGGCGCAACCAACAGCATCCTAATCCTAAATGTTGCACTCTCCACATGACCATTGTTCGGGCTCTATGAGAGATGTTGAGAATTGAGAGAGGCCACCAATGTTGCCTTGAAACTTGAAGCTTTTGCCACAACAATTGACTCACCAAGACAACTAGTGCTTTGGCTGTCTGATTCCCCCACAAAGACGTAGGACACCACGCTCCGCCTTTGTCACATCATCTCCAAAAGAGGCAAAACGCATGGCAATGTCCCAAGAAAGCCATGCAAAGCTTCAATTCTAGTGACATCCATGCCCTTCTTGCTGACTAGTTGACTACAATTTGGTCTCAAGTCTATTTTTGAGGCACCTCGCCTCAAGTGCAAGAACAAGTTCCAAAAAAAAACATGAATTGAATTACATTCGTCATATTGGACCCGTGTTGGACACAGCACCGAAAGCCAAGGCAATCTCCTTTCTTCAGCCTGTCGACAGCTGTCAATGCAGGACCCTGGTTGACCCGAAATGAAGAGTTTCCTCTATAACTCTATGGATGTCAACCTTCCATGGTTTGGAAGAGGTGCCATGACTCACCATCTAAGATGAGTTTTTGACTCTTGGATTCACTGATCGCCATCTGCATCCTTTTCCCTCATCGCTTCCGCGCTGAGGTCGGATCGCGCGCCGACGTCGGGTCGCGCGCCGACGTCGGGTCGCGCGCCGACGTCGGGTCGCGCGCCGACGTCGGGTCGCGCGCTGAGGTCGGGTCCCGCGCAGACCGGGGTGAGGCGGGACCCCCTCTTGCAGAGACGGGGCCCCCTCGCGCAGAGACGGGGCCGCGTGCGGATTTGTCGCCTGCGTGCAGGGGAAGGCACGTTCTGAAGGAGTGACAACAAAAAGCCATCACGGACGTAACTGTCGCCGCCGGGTGCCTCCGAACGCTGTTTCCGAGCCCTCGGAGCCCCGCCAGCCGTAGACTGGATACTCGATGTCTTCAGCATGAGAATCTCATTAAAATCTCTGTATCTCTTGATCTATATGCTCCATCTGACCAGTCCAAGCTTTATCTGACTGGGTGATGTTTGAACATGCCCGATGGCCACAGGTGCAGGCTGACTCAGTCCAATATATGGGCTTTTCGTTCAACATCGATCCAGAAGCCGACGAGATCAGCGAAAGGTCGACTGTGACCTTGACAGTGATCCCAAACAGATTAACCAGGAGTCACGTTGAAGACGGGGTGTCGTCACGTGACTGAGGTGCCATGAGGTGCCCCGACTTCACATCCACATCCACTGGGACGAACCAAACATCTAAATAAACAACTCCATGTGACTCCTGGAAACCTAGATTAACTACATACCTGGTTCTTCAGTTCGTGACCGTATTTGATAACCTGGTTGGTTCGGTCACAAACAAGCCTACGAGTAGGGTCACGAAAAGGAACCTTCAAAAGGTCACGTACTGAAGAAGCTGGTAACTACACATGATTGACTTATGCCATCATCACACTCGTTGGACGATCGTGTTGTTCTGTAGGGAACTGTGATTTCGGTGAAGTGGCTCAATCCTCCTCGTCTGGGTGCGACATACAGATCCAGGTCCAATGAGGTTCTGCGAAGCATGGCCAGCTTTCGGTTTTTGTGGATAAATCATTCTAGAGAGTCCGGAAAAAAACACTGAGCCCAAGCAGGATAGGATCTCTCAATATTGCGGAGACCGGATCTAGGATGGTCCGGTCGGTCGACCATCCATCGCCGCTCCGGAAGAAAAAAACCCTTCACGACCACGACCGCGAACTCCTCCGACCGTCGACGCCCCGGTCGACCGGGTGGGAACCCACCGCCTCCTTGACCCCAGTACTTCCTGCGGAGTCGACTGGGCCGGGTCGAGCTGTGGGACGTGAGCCGGCGAGAGAGCCACCGAGCCGGTGGCTCCAGGACACACCTTCAGATCAGTGACCACTTCCAAGCTGCTTAGGAAGTGATTTATTTGGACTCATGGAGTGGTTCATGAGTTCATAGATCAAGTGCTTCAAGCAGCTGCTTCAAAGTATCAGTGTCAGTGTAATTAAACACATTTAAAAACACCTGGAAGGTATCCCAGGTCGGTTTGTTGGAAGAACCAAACGATTTGACCTTGTCCATAGATCTTCACTGTTGAACACCCGGATTGCCATCTCGCTTGCATGGATGTCGACAGTTTGGGGACATTCCGGGACATGTTTGCCCCATGTCCCCCTCGACGTCTTCATCTTCCTCTTTACATGTCACAATTCATTCTTTCCGGAGCTTGGCCATTGATGGAAGCCTCTCCAAAACCAACTAGGCACACACCAATAATAGGCGGAGAAGTCGTCCTCCAAATGCTGAGAAGTGGTTTCCGATGGATCACTGACCCCTCCAAAGCGCGAACGAAAAACCGTTTACCTCGTTACCAGATACCTCATCGTACGGCCCCGTACCGCCGCCAGCGCCATCCGTGCCCCCCAAACAAGGGAAGAACCCCCCCCAGAATTCGGCCTGAGCCTCATTGGCTTGGATCTGCGGTCCAAGAACCAAAAAGAAAACAATGGAAAACGGAAGAAACACAAACATCTTCCCCCGGATGTTTGGGAAATTTTACCCCCGGATAAGACCCGGCAAAAGAACCATCCTTCCGATGAGGAGAACGTCACGATGCTCGATCTGAGGGTGGCGGACTTGCGCTTCTCTTCGGCCATGGTGGACTTGTCGGCATCGGTGTGCAGCCGCGGTGATCCCTGGAGCGAGAAGGACTTGGAGATCGATCTGTTCCAGGACGTGGCCTGATGTGATGTGGCCACTGAAATTGAACCGGAAAGGACAAACCACCTGCCACCGGAAAGGACATGCGGGCGAAGAAGTGTTAATATTCATGCATGAAGCAGTTGATTTATGGAACTCATAGGGCTGCCAAAAGCATGTCTTCCATGTTTCCTGTTTGGCTATAACATCATGACTCATGACCTCCCAACAGCAAGTCCGACAACTGATGTCACACGACGTCGTGAGGTTCACTCGACTCACTCGACCCGGATCTTAATGCTAAAAGTAATATCTATGTCACTAACAAGCTACATGGAAGCTCTTTGCTCTTTGTAACTACTAATCAAAGCATATCAAGGCATCTAATGCACTGGATCAAATTGTCAAATCAGTTTCTGCATCTCCTCTCAACAGTTCCTCCTTCCTTCAGGAGTGTTTTCAAAAGGACATCGGCGCATCAGCCCACAACGCCTCCAATTGGGCCAAATCCTTATCAAACCTCGGGCGGCTGCGCAAATCTGGTCAGCTTACTCGTGCGAAGCAGGCTTGAACAAGGGCTGGTTGAGGTATTGGGTCATTGAGC